GTTGGATAGATACAAGACAATGATCCAAATTCAGTATGCAAAGAAAGGAGGATTTTTTAAAAACCCCTTCAACAATGCCAACTTCCAGATCCTAGAGTGAAGGGGAATTATTCTGAAATCAAATCATTCCAATCAGTGTTTATCAGTGCCCAATCATTTAAATCAGTGTTTGTTTCCTATTACTTCTGCCCACTGAACATTTGCAAAGGCCACAAGGTTGAAGATGTTCTATTGACATGTTGATGATTGTGGGCATTATGAAATCTCCCAATGCAAAACAAGAGTCCCACTTCAGCGGTGTTCTTAAGTGCTCAACAGGCTGATAAGAAATTGCCCTTAAGTTTCTCCCTATAAGGCACCTGTCTGTCAGCAAATTTGTGTGATTCAATGAGGATGCTCATTGATGGAGCTGAGAGTTTGTTTGATCCAGGAAAACACGACTCAGGCATTAATACACCCACATATCTCACTTCATACAGTCATTCCATCGTTTTATTGTTCCGCCAATTGACTATGTGCATGTTTGTTAACACGACACAGCTAAACAACTGTTCTGACCAAATCTGCCTGAGGATTCGTTCAGCTGCGACTAAATTTGAAGTATCTGCATATTAGCTGGTGAAAATAAACAACCATTGTCAACAATGCTAAAAGACATTCAGATTCATATAATATTGTCTATTACAATAATTACTGTTCCATACAGTGAGTTCTTGTTTTAAATAAATTTTCCTTTACACAAAGTAAATTTTGTACCACAGATTCTCAAATGAGAAATTGAAAATATGAAAATTCTCTGCACAAAATAATTGTAATTTTTAATGTTTTTTAAAATATATTTTTTAATAACTTTAAATAAGATTTCTTTCTATTTACTCTAAATCATTTTGCTAAAACAATTTAAGATTTTATTTCCAGAAGGGCTGAATACCTATGAAGAACATACTAAAAATATATTTAACAGAAATAAACTTTTGTTAGACAGTGACATACACAGTATATGAATGTCACAATACAGAAAACGATATGTGATAGTGTCCTGAATAATCAAAAAACAAAAGTACATAAGCACATACTGTAGTACTTACCAGTGGCACATGCTGAACGAGAAATTGGCTGGAGTAGCAAACGACTGCGAATCTTGAGAGAGTTGAGCAGATTTTTTGCAATCATGCCTGAATAAAATAGACCAAAAGAAAAAAAAAAGTTGTCTGAAACAGAATGAATCCACCAGCAGAAAAAACAAAAGATCTCATGAAATCAAAATTGCAGTTTTGTGGTTTATAGACCATGTCTGCACTACAAACACTCATCCAATCAAATGGGCTCTAGAAAACACTGGTCCACAGTTGTAGCATAAACCAAATTAATTTATTATTTTTATCTAAAAAAGGACAAACCCTTATAGTATAAAGAAGACATGTTGGCATCGGGCCAGGGTATCACAAACAAAAACGTTACTTCAAGAGGTGTAAAGTTTGATGTTTTGGAACATAATTTGAAAGCTTAAAATGTACACAGAAAATGCAAATATGCTGTACGGGCTTTCTACACCTTCTGACGAATAGATTTAGCAGAACATGTTATTTTACTGTAAATTGTGGGGTTTTGGAAGTAGGAAGGAATTATCAAATAATTTGCAGTAAAAATCTATAGAAGACAATACATGTACGTGTTTCGTACTTGTGGAAAGGTTTATGAAAACAGCACTTCTGATGATCTGTAATTCATCATATGGCCTTCTGTTTTACTTTTTTGTTTATTATTATGGGGATTATCAATATATTTTAAGGTGAAAGCAGTTTTTAGTTGTCCAAGAATGTCGGTATATTTACATTATACAAATTAATAAACATAACCCGGTTGAAAAAAACAGCATATGCTGGTTAGGTATGTTTTGACGATGGGATGCTGGTCCTTCGCCTGGTTTAAGCTGGTCCTTTTGCCAGCACATGGCCAGCATAAACCAGCAAAGAACCAGCATCCCAGCGTCAAAACATGCCTAACCAGCATATGCAGTTTTTTTCAACAGGGAACCAGATTAAAGACATTTTAGAAAGACACAATTCGTATTACCAAAAACGCAGGTTTGAAGCAAATCTCACCATTTTGTTTGGACTGCTCTTTCTTATCCAGCTGATGAGGTGTCATGATGTCTCTGCTCCATTTTTCCAACGTTTCCATCTTCCACCCCCTGTAAACAATTGAAATAACATTTCCAAAGCCATTTATTTCTCATCCTAAGTGATGTTTGCAGTGTGAGGCATGCATATGCTGGTCAGATGTGTGACTGCAGTGAAGGGGACAGACAGACAGACAGACACCCCCGCGCTCAAGCATTCCAGGACTTCAGTCTGATTTCACGATCAAATGCTGGTTTCATGCTGCCGAGCGCAGGCATGATTATATAAACGGAAAAATCATCACTGCGTTAAATGAGCGTTCATGTCTCATCAGACGTTGTTTGTACAGCTTCATCCGGATGGCTGTGCGGTTTCACTGCATGCACGCGACTCAAAACACCAGAGAGCAACGAACAGAAGATACACATACAAGACATGTATAACATTTGTGAGCAGGAAATATATGAAGCGTAAGATTGTTTAAACAAACCCCAGCCATTCATCTTTGCAGCGCTCAGCTGAATGAAGCTCACGTGGACAAACGACGTCACGGAAGCGACGAGCTGAGCTTCATGGGAAAAGTAGTTCACAAGTGTTGGCTAAAGTGGGTAGTTGACAAATAACATCTTATTGAATAGAATTTAGCGTATTAATGTATATAGGCAAGTGTACATTTAGTCTATTTAGTTGTAGTATATATATTTATTGTAGTATGTAGTAAATGTGGCCTTGAAATAGGCTGTTTAATTGTGACAACACATGCCCCAGTAGTACTAGGGACTAGTTTTGAATACTTTTTGTAGCCTTTACATGAACAAATTCATAAGCCTAATATTTACTGTAGTAAAATGTACAACTACCTCCATTTCCCTTGAATGATTGCCATATTAACACACCATAATTTACAGGGTACTATACCGTAGTATAACCACAGTACCATGTAGTACCAACCCAGATAGCACATGTACGTCTGCAAGACATCTGTTAAAGATCGCTTCATCTGGAAAGCATCTGCTGTGTACAAACATCTGATAGCCATCTCTAAGATGTCAGTCTTAATCATCTTAAAGGGGTCATATGATGTGATTAAAATTTTTCCTTTCTCTTTGGAGTGTTACGAGCTCTTGGTGCATACAGAAGATATGTAAAGTTGCAAAGACTAAAGTCTCAAATCCAAAGAGATATTCTTTATAAAAGTTAAGAGTCAACCACGCCTACCTAAAACGGCTCGTTCTAACACGCCCCCACATATCATCCTATAGACGTATTGCAGATGAGCAAACACGTCTTGCAGATGTAAATGCAGACATCAAACAGACATCTCCGTGATATATGCGTGCTATCAGGGAAGATACTTCTTTTTTGTTACTGACTCATTGTCCAATTCCATGTGCAAAGCACTGTACAAAAGAAAGAAAACCTCTTGAATAAATCAAACCTCTTACCTTGTTGTGTTTCTGTTACAGATGCTGATGTCAGAAGGCTAAAACTGCTTGTGACGGCTTGTTATCTGTGCTCAGGATAATCAGAGACTGGCTCAGGTTGCTGCAAGTATCTAGGAAACCCCTCCAGATATTGACGTCATGCGTTGCTCTTTAGCAACAAAACTACACCGGCAACTCCATTTAACAGCAATATTTCACAGCAAGGGTCCTTTCAGAATTCAGTCCTTTAATTGTTTAGATCAGAAATGAACTAGTAGCCATATTGTAATTTGAGGGTTAATGTCAACAAAGCCAATCAAAGTGCCTTGACAACGAACATGTCGCCTAAATGGATTTTCAGTGGCAGTTCAACAAACATTGTAATTATGAGACCGCTTGGTAACAGACCCTCATAAACGCTGGATAAAATGTGGTCTAACACCAGTGGGTGGTATAAGGCTTTATTTACATAACAAAGTGTCTGTCTGTGCTCCTCCACCATTCAGCTGCTTACAAGATATGAGTTACTTGTGACCTGGTTCTCTCATCTGCTCAAGTCCGAATACAAACGCACACTCTATTATTCCCACCTGTTTCAGAGGTGTGGTCTCCTGACTACAAAGAACAAGATTTCAATTAGAGCCGTGAGACATGCAAATGAGAAGATGTGTTTCATAAAGGTACTTAGGACTGAATCATTCATAACTGGATTACCTTGTATGGCTGTATTGTAGCCGAAGTAGGCCTACATGCGATGTCAGTCGTTGCAGACCCCAATCAAAAACACACACATAAACAATTCTAAGCAATTAATGAACTGAATTTCAAGATATATTAGAATTCAGCTTTGCATCACAGGAATAAACTGCATTTTAAAATATATTCAAATATAAAGCGGCTATTTTAAATTGTAATAATATGTCACAGTATTACTGGTTTTACTCTATTTTTGATCCAGTAAATGCAGCGTGGATGTATCCTGCACAGCATGGTAAGCTAGCAGGAATATTCCCTTTGATCGGAGATGAAAGCTGCACTCTGATTTCTAGTAGTAAAGAGACTCTAAAGGTCATGTCAACAGTGTTTACTATCTCTGCTGATCACAAACCTGCAGTGCGCCTGCTTTTGTGATGGTTAAGGGAAATGGATAATGGAAATCGCTGCCAAATCAGCTGTAAGTGCTCTATATTGTTCTTTTCTATGGAGCCATTTTTACTTGGAGTGGCTCAGGCTGTGAAAGAAAATACATGCATAAAAGAATCTTACATAAGCGATGGTAATGTTTTTGAAAAGAAGTCTCTTGTGCTCATCAAGTCTGCATTTATTTGCTTAAGAATACATTGCAAACATAATGGTCACTTTTTGATCAATTTAATGCATCCTTGCTGAATAAAAGCAACATAACTTAGATATGAAACATTTAATTGATTTTATACAAAAACAAAATCAAAGGACACCTTGAAGAAGGTACAAAAAGTGCACAACAATTTTCCAGTGTGCTTGTTGATGACATAAAATAATGTATTCTGAATTAAATGTCAAAATGTACCTCCGTGTTTAAAACATGACTGTGCAAAAGCAACTAATGAATTCTCCAGCCTTTAGCATTCTTTAAACTTGCTCAAAGGAAGAAACCTCATTATAACGCTGTAATTGCCCCACATGTGTGCTGACAGCCTGATATTCACACCCTTATCTAGTGCTTACTGTAGTCACAAGAGAAATCAGCATGCCCGTGTGTGTGTGTGTGTGTGAACTCACCAAACCTGATACAACTGTCTCGTGTCTGGTTTTTTTTTTTAAATCTCAAAAAAATTCAGTCATCATTTTATCCCAAACTTCAAAACATGAGAAGGTTTTTGCTGGTTTTAAAAACATGTTCTTAACTTATATAAACAACAAAACTAAAATTCAGTATAATTTCTCTAAATAGTGAATATTGGCTAACTAATACATATATGGGGAAGTAATAGATAATTTAATAAAAAATTAGGGTGATGTGGCATCATTACATCAATCTTATAGATAAACGTATGCTAAATACAACAAATAAAATGAATGTATTGTTATATCTAATTTGAAAACATGGCATACAGCAGTATTTAACTACAAATAATTTGCTTTTCTTAAGAAGATCATTCTTATAAATAGACTTTTCTATGAATGTTTGACTAAAATATATTGGACTAGCTAATAGCTACAAACGATGAAGAAGACAACATAGGAGAGAGTAATGAAATGCGTATGTATTGTTATAAATAAACAAAAAAGAATGGCAAGAAATCAGATATATTCTTATTGGTCTATAGTCTGGGCATTACACTCCAGTATAACTTATTTAAATTCTTGTGAACATTGCTACAAAGAAATGGTAATGGAGGTTTTTCAGAAGGTTTTGTTTGTGAATGGGATCTTTAGCGTGTGTTTCAAGGCCAGCGTTGTGTCCACCTGTTCAGAGGAGAGTAACGTGTGCCACTGAGCCACAGGCTTGCGTGGGTTGGACAGCATATCCGCCCAGTGACGCAGCTGGTTTCCTGTAGCATCACAGCCCAGATATATCTTGCCGATCGCATCATTTCTGCTCATTTTGTCATGATCCCACACAGAGATGACCAGCTGGACTTTCTGTATGAGGGATAATGAGCGAAACAAACAGTTATACACATTATAAGTTATTTGACGAGGTTGAAATCATGTAAGAATGAAATTCTGATATTACAACCCTATTTTTTTTCTCACAGACACAAATCAAACCAACGAAAATCAAACAATCTAATAGAGAAATGTTAAATGTTAAATGTTATATGAGGATAAACATCACAATGGCTCCATAAGATCACAGCAAATGTTGTCTATTTATTCTCCATTGGACGCTTAATTCATCTAAGCAACCAGTTTCTAGGCTTCCATCTCTCACCTGAATCTGTTCAAATGACACTTCAAAAGTGAAAGATTCATTGAAGTATGGATTCAGTGTCTGCTTCTTCACTGATGTTTTCTTCTTCTTCCACTTTTTCTTATCCAGAATCAATTGAACTTTCACATAAGGGTCTACAAAACAAAAACAGAACATTTCAAAGCGAAACACACTCTCTATAGTTGAAATAATGCTTTGGAATTGGAATAACACAAGTACATTTTTCATTTTTTGCCTGTAGCGGCATTTCTACAAAATCAAATTCTTCCATGCTTTACAACACGCTCAAAGTGAAATGTCCAGTAAGTGGCGCTAAAAGCACATTCAGTTTCATCTAAAACAGATGAGCTTGTATTTGGCAATGTTTTGCCGCTTTAGCTTGCTTCTACAAGTCCGTGAACTCTTTTATCGTGACTCATGTACAAACCCAATTCCAAAAAAGTTGGGACACTGTACAAATTGTGAGGAAAAAAAGGAATGGAATAATTTACAAATCTCATAAACTTATATTTTATTCACAATAGAATATAGATAACATATCAAATGTTGAAAGTGAGACATTTTGAAATGTCATGTCAAATATTGGCTCATTTTGGATTTCATGAGAGCTACACATTCCAAAAAAGTTGGGACAGGTAGCAATAAGAGGCCGGAAAAGTTAAATGTACATATAAGGAACAGCTTGAGGAACAATTTGCAACTTATTAGGTCAATTGGCAACATGATTGGGTATAAAAAGAGCCTCTCAGAGTGACAGTGTCTCTCAGAAGTCAAGATGGGCAGAGGATCACCAATTCCCCCAATGCTGCAGCGAAAAATAGTGGAGCAATATCAGAAAGGAGTTTCTCAGAGAAAGATTGCAAAGAGTCTGAAGTTATCATCATCTACAGTGCATAATATCATCCAAAGATTCAGAGAATCTGGAACAATCTCTGTGCGTAAGGGTCAAGGCCGGAAAACCATACTGGATGCCCGTGATCTTCGGGCCCTTAGACGGCACTGCATCACACACAGGAATGCTACTGTAATGGAAATCACAACATGGGCTCAGGAATACTTCCAGAAAACATTGTCGGTGAACACAATCCACCGTGCCATTCGCCGTTGCCGGCAAAAACTCTATAGGTCAAAAAAGAAGCCATATCTAAACATGATCCAGAAGCGCAGGCGTTTTCTCTGGGCCAAGGCTCATTTAAAATGAACTGTGGCAAAGTGGAAAACTGTTCTGTGGTCAGACGAATCAAAATTTGAAGTTCGTTTTGGAAAACTGGGACGCCATGTCATCCGGACTAAAGAGGACAAGGACAACCCAAGTTGTTATCAGCGCTCAGTTCAGAAGCCTGCATCTCTGATGGTATGGGGTTGCATGAGTGCGTGTGGCATGGGCAGCTTACACATCTGGAAAGGCACCATCAATGCTGAAAGGTATATCCAAGTTCTAGAACAACATATGCTCCCATTCAGACGTCGTCTCTTTCAGGGAAGACCTTGCATTTTCCAACATGACAATGCCAGACCAAATACTGCATCAATTACAACATCATGGCTGCGTAGAAGGATCCGGGTACTGAAATGGCCAGCCTGCAGTCCAGATCTTTCACCCATAGAAAACATTTGGCGCATCATAAAGAGGAAGATGCGACAAAGAAGACCTAAGACAGTTGAGCAACTAGAAGCCTGTATTGGACAAGAATGGGACAACATTCCTATTCCTAAACTTGAGCAACTTGTCTCCTCAGTCCCCAGACGTTTGCAGACTGTTATAAAAAGAAGAGGGGATGCCACACAGTGGTAAACATGGCCTTGTCCCAACTTTTTTGGAATCGGGTTTGTATGTTTCACAGGACTCGTACCCGAGGTTTTCATCGCAAATGCAGTGCTGTACCAGGTGAGCTACCGAGCAAGTTTACTATTGTCAGAAAAGCAATTTTACTGCCACTAGTATTCATTTTATCTGGAAACTGCAGTGAATTGTAAATGTATTGGTACGTTTTGCAAAACTGAAGGTAGAGGCCCATTTTTCCTGTGAGCCAATGTTACTATTTCTAGTGTTTGAGAAGTTTTGTTTCTGTCAGTAGTGATTGCAGACTACACTTTAGAGGATGTAGGATATTTTAATAAGTATGTCACCTGAGGAGCCACCCTGATCCATCCTCTTCAGGTTCTTGGCTTCCAGTATGATCACAGTGAGTTTACTACTAGCCGGGACATAACGAAGAGAAAAGCAGATCTCTCCCAGATGCTCTTGCTGCAAAAATGGATACAGTATGTAAGCTGTAACCGGTACATTATGCATGGAGAATGCTCTTTTGCCTACTGAGCCTTGTTTAGGGAATCTGGATTTTCAGTCTTGACTTGCAGGGGTCATGATGTAAATTGTGTTAAGAACTGAGTGCTGACAAGCAAAGATGGTAGATTTCGATTTGTCGCCATTGAGTGGGGGACATAAGGTTGCTCCAGGGGGACTCACTGTAATTTTACATGATGCTCTATGGTGACGTGATGGAAACAAAATCCATTTGCTTTATCATGTAGTGATAGAAAGATTTCATTCTCTCAATTTTAAATATAAGCCATTTTGTAGAGCATCATCCATACCGCAGCAATAGTAAAAGAAGGGGCAAAAACTTTTTGGACTTCCAGTTGATTTCCAGTTTTTAGAGAATGACACTTTGCACTGCATATAGATATAATTTATGTGAACTAACTACATGAAAAAATACATTGAACTCGACAACGTATTTGACTGAACTGAACCTCATGTTTGGAAGCTTCGCTCAGATCTCTCCACTCCTCAATCACATGATTCCAGTCCACAGTGGACAGATTCAGTCTGATCTCACCGATCATGTCGTGTTTGGAGAATTTGTTAAAGTCATAGACTTGCATCACCAGTATCGACTCAGTCAGCTCCTTCTGAGGGATCTACAAGCGATGAAAACATCACATGTTTTGTTACTGTAAATAGGCTGTACATTTAACAACTCCACTTCAATGAGCTTGATCTTGACCTCATCAGGTCATTGTTTGAGCTGACAACAGACTGTTTTCCTAACATTAATCTATTCCCCCTGTGATAATGAATGATTTCATATGCTGCAAGGTTTACCTGATATTTGAAATTTTCATTGAACACTGGGTTTAGGGTTTTCCTGAAGACTTTTGTCTCATATGTTTTGGACTTGTTGGGAAGGATGTAGACTTTCACATAAGGGTCAGATGTCCCTCCCGAGTCCATCGCTTTCAAAGCAGCAGCTTCTTTTATCCCTACAGACAACTGATGAGAAATATGGTACAGTACATATATTATGATTTTAAAAACAGTTTTAATCTAAAAGTATATTCTTAAAGTCCACATGAATTCAAAACGGACCCTATTTACTTTGTTAGTGCACATTACTAGGCTTGTGCTGAACAATTCATCCATGAAAATGAATCCACAATAATATTTTAAAAAAGTGTATAGGTCATTTTTAGTCAAATTCACTCTTCACTCTGGAATGGTGTTCCCGTAGCCCTGACATTTATTTTTTTCTTCATTCAATATTACAATATTCCAAATTTCCATTTTAAAGCCGGTCACAATTTCCAGTTCATGTAGACTTTAAATAAAAAGATGCACCTCAAGTGAATTGATGGAATGTCTTGAACGGCCAGAGAAAATCAATCTAGACAAATAATGATGACTTTGGTGAAGAAGATGAAATATAATTCTGACTTGTTTAATACTTTTGATCACTACTTAGTTTCTATAATTCAATTTCATAGTTTCAGTGATTTTGCTATTATTCTAAAAGTACAAACTTGCTTTATAATATTGAGGATATTGGCATTTTGGAATGAACAGAGATGTATGAAGTAGGTGGATGGAAGTTAGGAATAATTTGTTTATACTTCCTGCCAGTTGAGGGCACTGCTGTAAAATCAGCGAAAGAGATATAGTGACCTCTGATCTGGATGTGTTGAACTCCAGTGAGTACTGCAGTTTTCCTCTCTGCTGGTCAGCTGATCCATACTCTGCATCCTCTGTCTCAGGCTGGACCTGTCAGTACATCCAGTATCCCATTAGTGAACGCCCCCCAGAGGAATATTTTATTGTTCAGAGTTAGACTTTCACAGCTTAGGAAACTTAAAGGAACTGTTCACCCAAAAATGAAAATTTGCTGAAAATTTACTCACCCTCAGGCTATACAAGATGTAGTTTGTTTTTCATCAGAACAGATTTGGAGAAATTGTGCATTGCATCACTTGCTCACCACTGGATCCTCTGCAGTGAATGGGTGCCGTCAGAATGAGAGTCATTACAGCTGATAAAAACATCACAATAATCCACAAGCAATCCACAAAATTTTTGCGTTTGTAAGAAAAAAATCCATCATTAACACATATTTAACTTCAAACCGTTGCTTCTGGCAAAAATAAGAGTCCTCTATCTATAATATTGCTTTGTCCAGTGAAAAGGTTCTTTAGTCTAAATCAGTAGAGAAATATGCACATTCACAAGCCAAAACCGTCCAAAATATGTAGGTGGATTTTGATTTGAGAGACAATGGACTTTTTCACTGGAGGAAGCATTAATATGGATAGACTTGTATTTTGGCCCGAAGCAACTACACACCGATTTTCACTTCACAAGATGTTAATTGAAGGACTGGAGTGGTGTGGATTACTTGTGGATTATTGTGATGTTTTATCAGCTGTTTGGACTCTCATTCTGATGGCACCCATTCACTGCAGAGGATCCACTGGTGAGCAAGTGATGGAATGCTACATTTCTCGAAATCTATTCCTATGAAGAAAAACTCATCTACTTCTTGAATGAGTACATGTTCAGCACATTAAAATTTTTGGATGAACTATTCCTTTAAAGGACCATGTCAACAATGGCAGCCAATGGTGTGAGTTTGGAGACGGGACTTGGATGTTTTTTTCAACCATAGCAGATGATGGGAGTGTTTGAGGAATTTTTATTTTGTCACACTAATGCAGACATTACACACCTTTCCTTTAAAATTTCTTAGAAGAAGAAAAAACACAGGCACAAATGAGTTAATTATTGATATATTGCAAGATTATAGGGCAATAAAAGCAATGTTAAAATAATTTTAGTATTTGATGAGAAATGTGTAAGTTACTATCTTGGACTTTCAAAGACTTGTTTCTTGGAAAATCAGATTTGATGTTGAGATCTCTTCTAAAACTCTAGAGGAGACCTATGTGAGATTAAGTGAGAAGTTTCCATTTGCTCTTCATTTCATCCTTTTTTCTGACTAGAAGAACAATTTAACCAGCATTCCCAAGCATGGATGACCCATCTCTCACCAGTGCTGCGGTTGTAGTTCCTGAGATCCCTTTCATACTGATCTTCTGGTCCAGCTTCTTCTTTCTCTTCTTTTTCCCTTTGCAGCAGCATTTTACACAGCAGCATATCACAAAGATAAGAATAAGCAGGATGACGGCAGCAAATATAGCATAGATGGCCCATCTTGGCACTGTTGTGGCAAAAACAACAATATTCCATCACACATCACAGTAGCGGTCCAGTATAGCACCATGACACACATCTGAGGGATGAGGTGAGACCTTAAGGCGAGTTAAAGTTGTAACAAGTGAAAATTGAGTAGAAAGAAATGTGTGCAAGGGGCGGAATTAGATCAGGGCCTGTGGAGCAAGTGCTGAAATGAGGATTCATATGATATACTCACAAGGAATCCTGTCCAGGAAAGAGGGCAGGAAGCCTGGAGCAGCTGTTGTGGTGTTGGTGTGAAGTGTTTTAGTTGGTTTTAATGTTGGTCTTGGTGTCATGGTGAAATGGATGGGGCCAGTGGGTCACTGGAAATATACATACAAAAGATAGTTAGTGGCTGGCAAGTTATGGCTGAGTTAGTTACCTTGTTTTGTGACGGCCCCTACTGGTTAGAATGGTTGTGCAACACTTTAGTCAGACTGAAGGGAACAGTTTACTAAAAATTGTAGGAATAGTTGACCCAAAAATGGAAATTATGTCAGTATGTCATTTCAAACCCTTGGTAAATATAATTAGGAGTCCGTACTGTGAAGTCATACATTCTATACACATTCTGCTAAACATCTCCTATTGTGTTCCACTGGAAAACTGAGGATGAACAAATGATGGGTGAATGAGTTTTAATTTTTGAGCAAACTATCCCTAATGAAGGTCATTTTTGCTATGGAATAAAAAAAATTTAATAACTTAATTGTGATTTTAAATCTCAAAATTCATTCTTTTTTCTCAGAATTGCAAGATATAAGCGAATTGAGATGAAAAAGTCAGTATTGTGAGATAAAAAAGTTGCAATTACCTTTTTATTTTTTATTCTGTGGTGAAAACAAACAAAATAAAAATAAAAACAAGCAAGCAAACAAAATAGCAAGACTTGAAGATGTAAATTTAGAATTCTGAGGAAAAAAAGGCAGAATTATGAGATTTAAACTCACAATTGTGAAATGCAAACTTGGAATTGTGAGAAAAAAATCCAGAATTCTGAGTTCATATCTCGCAATTCTGATTTTATATAAAAAGTCTGTGGTTCCATAACTTATCCTTTTAATAAAGTCAAATTTAGAGACAAATCAAAACAAGTAAATACAATTGCAACTGAAAAAAAGGCTTAGATGTTACAAGTTTGCCATAAGGTTTTAACTGTATGCGCTTGTTAAGCATCACCACTTCCAGGTCCAAACACTCTATCTCGTTCCACAAGAAAACAACAAAAACAGTGCTAATTTACACACACAATGCGGTGTAATACTATCAAAAAATTCTAATCATAACCTTTATCTCCATACCAAAATCCCAGATGGCCATACAGTGATTCATCTTTTGTAAATCGTTAAAATATTCATATCTGTGATGCTGTGAGCACAGAGACTGTAGTGTACACTGTAATCTTTTTAAAAGTTGAGCTTAAATGTGTAATATGAATAAACAGTGCTCATAAACGGCAATCAAGATGGTATTCTCAGTTGAAACGAGTGGAGGCTTGGACCCGAAAACGGCGTACCTTACGTCACAAATTAACAAGCGGTTAGTAACACATTAAACTCTCGGTTGCATGACAAAAAGAGGATGTCGTCACCACCAAAGTTAAACATGTGTTGACAGCCATCTGCAGTCCATTAAAACTGGGTGTGCTTAAAGTGTACAGATAACATTCTTTTTCAGTGAAACAGTCTTAAAAATGGAACAGTGCTGCCTTGAGAATGCAGTCAAAACATTTGCTGTCATTCCAACATTCAACATTTTCACAAACAAGACAAACAAGTAAAGTACTTAAATAGTCCAAGTCCCAGTTTCTCGAGAAAAACAAAAACCAAAAAAAAAAACGTGTAAATAGTGCAGAACAATAACAAAAGACACGATTATGCCTGAAAATGATATAAACAAAACTAATCTAATGGAACTATAATCAAAAGCGGCACAAAATAGCTACAAACTGAGCATTAAAACACAATTACATGAAATAAGTGAACTTCAATATAAAAACAGAGGATTATAGTGTCACTTACTTTTGTAAAATTAGATCCTTTGGGATAGTGGCTCCTCAGTTGTAGTTAAAGAACATAAAGAATAATATTCTGAATAGTATGAACACGTTCCTAAACCTTTCAAGCAGAGCCACATGGGAAGGAAGTCACTGCCCACTAAATATTTAGGCTTTAATCATTCAGTAAAACAAGAGTCTGTTCTCTATCTCAGTTCCGTCTTCTGTTACAATTCGTGCAATTCAGTATTTTCAACATCCAACTTTTTGCCTTCGAAGAGTACACTGTAAAAAATGACCGTGAATTTAATGGTAAAAGACTGTAAAAATGCTACAGTAAAATCCTGTTAAATGGTTAACGGTAAATTCCCCTACTGTATACAATGAAAAACTGTATTGGACATCACATGTATTGGACATTAATTTTACAGTAGTTTACCATTTTTGGAAGTGAAAAAGACTGTATAATTTACAGTGAATAACCATAAATTGACATTCCCACACTTCCCTGCATTACATTTCAAATTTGATGTTTTTTTGTTGAAATAACCATGTTTCTTCTTAATTTTTTCTTATCAGTTTTGTATATTAGGGTTGTGTGTTACACCTAATGTTGTTAAATGAATGTTTACTGCATTGTTTCAGTTTCATGAGTGTTAACATGATGGTGTTTAGCGTTTGTGTGAATGACACTGTGCACCTTCTCTACATGTTATTATTTAAAAGCTGCTTGTGATAGGCTTTGGTTCATCGTGTGACTTTCTCATCACCATCTGCATTTGGTGGTTATCAGTTTATTACAAAGGTACAAAACAGATTTCAGTACTTCAATAGGTTGGTATATTAACATTATATCAGTTAATGAAATTACGGTAAACTGTAAATTTAAGTTAAAACCGTGAAATCTAAAACATTGCTACTGTATTTTTTACGGTAAAATTCCGGCAACCGGTACATTTTTTTTACAGTGTAGCTGCCTAAACTTTTGTTTGGTGGTGACTAACATTTCTTTAGTCATTCGGCAATCCTTCACTTTTTATGTCATTTAAAAAAAAATTTCATGACTGGTGAAAATATGAATAAGAAAGAGAAACACTCTACAAAAGAAAGAGAGGGATAAAGATGAAGAGAGAAAGAGAGGTAGAGTTAAAGTACAACATTAAAAATCACAAAAAGACAAAGGAAAAGAAGTGCAGATTTACGGGGATGCTGGAGCCTATCTCAGTGTTTCAGGCCATAGGCATGGAAACACCCTGGAAGAATGGCCAGTCCATCACAGAGCTCTCTCTCTCACACACACACACACACACAACGTCTGGTTTGTTATACTTGTGGGGACTCTCCATAGGCGTAATGGTTTTTCTACTGTACCAACCGTATATTCTATTGCCCTACACCAACCCTACACCTAAACCTACCCCTTACATTTTTAGATTTTCAAAAAACTTAATTCTGTGTGATTTATTAGCTTGTTTACCCGTGGGGACCTCAATTAGGTCCCTACTGTGACACGAGTCCCCATGAATCTGTGTGTATTCAGGTTTAAGTCCCCACCAGAATAGAAAAACAGGTACACACACACACACACACACACACACTGATTTCCATGTTTTATGGGGAGATTCCATAGAAGTAATGGGTTTTCTACTGTACAAACTGTATTTTCTGTCCCCTTACCTCAACCCTACCCCTCACACAAAACTTTCTCCTATTTTAGATTTTTTTTTAAAAACTTAATTGTATGATGTATAAGTTTGTTTCCTCATGGTGACTAAAACAATGTCCCCACAAGTTCAAAATGTACTTGTGGGGACATTCGGTTCCCATAATGTAGGGAATACCAGGACACACACACAGTCACAATCACTGCTTATTCAGGAAATACACTGCAATACACAGGGAGAACATGCAAACTCCACACAGAAAGGACTTCTGACTCTGTAGCAGTCAAACCCACAATATTATACAGTCAAACCAAAATGTATTAAGACACCTTCAACATTTCACACATTATAATAGTTTATCCGCTATAATTTAGAAAATGGTAATAAAATATGACAAGAACAAGTTAAATTGTGTCAGAACAAATTCATCTTGATAATGTCAGATAACACTTAAGCAAAACATGGTCAGGTCAAAGTGAATGAATAATTTTTGGTCCCAAATTTTTTATTCATAGTCCAAAGTATGAAGAATTTTGGGGTATAATATGTCACAGTTTACTTTATTTTGCTAACCTCACTTACATAAATGAACTATAGTGTCCTGTACCCACTAATAAAAACAAATATCAACAATTATATCTGGTGTCTGAATAATTTTTGATTTGACTGTATGTCCACTTTTTGCCAGCCCAGTATCAGATATGCTCCCATTAACATTATATCTTGTTAATTTTGCTAAATGTCATCCAATATAACAAATACTCCAAACATGTATTTTTTATTTACAGAGTCACAGCACTACACTCAACACTTAACTAGAACTTGTTGGATCCAGCTGAAACCTGTCTAGAAAGGGAATTAAAATACACAATAACTCAACTTGCCTTTTTTACCCTCCACTCCCAGTTCCAGCTGTTGTCTTGTCCAGTTCTGCAGTATTAAACAGTTAAGTCATTGTCTTGTGCTGGAATCCAAAAGTAGTTGGAAACAAAGACTAGGCAGCTCTCCTCAAAGTGTTCTTTCAATATAGAAAGAAATGTTCAGCACCTGCCACACCTCAATAATACACAAAACTGCCTGTGCATATGCCTTTACAGGACTAGGTTAACACCTCATGTGAAACTCAACTGGTAGAAAGTCAAACAGTCAGATTTGAGATATTCAAATACATTCTTAAGGAAGAGCTAAATATCACAGTTGATTAAGTGCTGATAGAAGTCAATGCATGAACAGCTTCCTTCTTGCTCCTGAAATATTGTATGTTCTGCTGTGATGAGCAGTGAAAACATACAAACAGAAACCAGTCTTGCCACACTACTGTTTAAATATTAATGGCAACCTGATACTGTGGAAAGTCCTCTTGAAGAAAATGTATTTATTTATCATTTTAATGTCTAACGTCATTTATTTGTTTAAATCCTTGTTCAATAATGTAGAACATTTGATATATTCCAACTATAAGGGTGAGTAATTAAATAACTATTGTTATTTCGCTGTTTGTCGCCATATTAAATTAAACAAATAGTTCACCCAAAAGTGAAATCGTTTTTTTACTTGTTACCTCCCATTCCTGGATTTATGCTGTGGGAATAACAGTCATGTGTTCCAAACGGGATAGATCTGCCTCCAAAGGGCACGGTGTGAGAACAACCATGGCCGCCACATTTAACTGTCGTTCCAAACCAAAGTGCTAAAAAATGGCCACTTCTAAGGGCCCTTGACTATTTCAGATTAATTGGCTCAGCAAAACCCACCCCCCCCACCCCTCCCTAATGGCTAATGCTAACGCTGCGGCTTTGGCGGTACGCAGGGAAGGAGACCAGAGGCCGTTTTTTGTTGTTGCCGCCGACATGTCGTGAAGGCGCTGTGTGATTCGTTGTGAAAGCGAAACTACTTTGTTTGGTTTTCCAAAAGAGGACGATATCCGTTTCATCATGCCTGGAGCTGATCCGTGCTGGTCGCTGAAGAAATACATCAACTTTGCGCTGTGGATCGCCGGATCGGCTTTCACCGTGGACGAAGCGGAGTCCAGCCCGGGGTCGCCACATGTGGTTGACGCTGTGTTTCGTTGTGAAAGCGAAACTACTTTGTTTGGCCTTCCAAAAATGGACACGACTAGAAATCAGTGGTTAAGTTGTATTTACAACACTGTTCCAGAACCCTTCAACACAAATATTCAGATGTGTGCAGCACATTATATGGAGAACTGTTTCCTGATCCTGGGAGAGTAGACTACAATGCCGGCTGTTCTGACTCACAGACTGTAAGTACGTTTTTTATATTTAAAGAATTTGCCACTGATGATTCAAACGTGAGTTTTGAGCAGTGTAGAGTAGCACTTGTTGTTTGTCGTTTCTCCAGACATGGTTTTATGTTTACGCGGTGCGATACGCAACGCAATCGTAAAAAGACAGTATAAGTCATTATAATCAGTATTTATGTCCCCACTGGATGCAACAAATGCCTCGTTTGTAATGTGTTTTAATGTTTTTGTCTCGTCGCTCCGGCCGGACAGGGCATCACAGTATGGTAAGGGGCGTAACATTTCCGTGACACGCTTGAGGTATTCGGCCAATCACAACGCACTGGATAGCTGGTCAATCAGTGTACACCTTGCTTTTCAGACCGATGAGCTTTGTAAAAATCAATGCATTTCAGAAAGGTGGGGAATAGAGGAGAAACAATAATGTACAGTATGTGGAAAATAATATGTTTTTTAACCTTAAACCGCATAAACACATTTCATTACACTAAAATACAAAAAATAATGTTCTTTTTAGAAGCATCATATGACCCCTTTAAGCTTAATTTTTCAAATTAACCTAGTCTTATGTTAACAGATCTGCATGAAGGAGTTTGCCGTTCTGATCGGTCAGATGAGGAGGAAGTTTGGGCAAGAGAACAGCTCTCTCTGCATTTGTGTTTTAACAGCATGGGGCTCTACAAACGTCTGTGTGTCTGCCCTGAAAACTCTTCGGGAATGGGGTCTGGATGTGGATGAGGCATTTTGTCTGGCTGGAGCTCCCTGCAGCCTCATACTGGCTGTAGTTAAACCCCACATACTCTGGGATGGTGGCCTTCACAACATGAGGGACTTGTCCGCCCATTCCTGAGAGTTAGTAGCACTAAACTGGACACCCAAGTGTGGCTTACCTTTCATTTTAATCAGGTGCCAATTCTGTTCATTTGCTGTTACACTTGACTTTGTATGTATTATTCACAAGGGTTATGTTGTAAAATAAGAAGCATTCATATGGGGTGATTTGGGTTTAATAGTGATTCACAGTACTACATATAGACTCTCTAGGGGTTTATATGAATCTTTTCTATGTTTACAAAAATTATAGTACATGCTGACTGTAGGAATTAATTAAAAACAAGTTTAAATACCCCCCAAATGTACTGAAATTAAATGCAGCCATATGTACAAGACGCAATATGAGCAAAGTCTGAGCACAAAACATAATATATTTTATATATACACTGAAAATACTGAAATTTAATTCATAGAGTCAACGTGCTTGCACCATCATTAAAGTTGATACTAACATGGATTGGGTTGAATTTCAGTAAGGCACTACTTTCAGTTAAATAGCTGTGATTTCATATATTGAAACAAACAAATGATATAAAACAAATATATAATAACATCAAAGGTATAGTTCACCCAAAATAAAAAATTATCTCAAAACAACAAGACATTTTTTTTTAAATATCTCCCAATTTAATTGTTGGGTGAACTATTGCTTTAAGAGTAAAAGTACATTTTCAAGCAATAATACTTTTGTATTTGTCAGTATCAATTAAATTTATGCATAGTTCAACATTAATGACATTAGCTAAATTAAAGCAAGGAGTTAGGACTGCACAATTAATAAAATTCCTAATTGCGATTACAATTACGAATGCCACAATTACGTAATCGTTCAAAGTTCACTAATATTATTCTGCGTGCTTAAGATGTTTTTTTCTTTCTACAGGTTATCTTAAGGGTTGTTCCATTGTTTTAATTTTAGTTTTAGTATCACACTATAATACCATGCATATTTTTTCCTTCTTTTATATATTTAAAAAAGTCAATGTATAGTTAATATTTGAGGCTTAATACTATAGAAAAGCAATAAACCACTAATATTATTCTGCGTGCTTAAGATGTTTTTTCTTTCTACAGGTTATCTTAAGGGTTGTTCCATTGTTTTAATTTTTGTTTTAGTATCACACTATAATACCATGCATATTTTTTCCTTCTTTTATATATTTAAAAAAGTCAATGTATAGTTAATATTTGAGGCTTAATACTATAGAAAAGCAATAAAAGTTTTTCAGTTAGAGTATTTTCAGCTTGTTTATTTTCATATAAATTTATGGCATGCAGTTGCTTCAAACAATGGTATAAACACCATTAAATGTAAATTGTGATAATCGTAATTAATAACCGCAATTACAATTTTATGGGAATCGACAATTATGATTTTTGTCATAATCGTGCAGCCCTACAAGGAGTATAATATTTTGCAGTCATGCAGTAACATATTGCAACTGTAAAAGGTGATTGTCTTTGGCTCAACATAGTAAAACACTTATACAAATGGATAAACCAACCAGAGTATAAAAAAACAACAACTAAATATCACAGGTCAGATTGAAAGTTGCACATTCATACAAATGTTTTTAGACTAAAATAAGAATACAAAAATATATTTATGCTTCCAGAGTGATTCATCCTTCATCTACTAGTTTTTTTGTATGTGACAAGGTTACAGGTACCACTTTCTAACAGTAGACACTACAATGATACTATACATATGAAAATCAGCATACTTATATTCTGCGTGCTTAAGATGTTTTTTTCTTTCTACAGGTTATCTTAAGGGTTGTTCCATTGTTTTAATTTTAGTTTTAGTATCACACTATAATACCATGCATATTTTTTCCTTCTTTTATATATTTAAAAAAGTCAATGTATAGTTAATATTTGAGGCTTAATACTATAGAAAAGCAATAAAAGTTTTTCAGTTAGAGTATTTTCAGCTTGTTTATTTTCATATAAATTTATGGCATGCAGTTGCTTCAAACAATGGTATAAACACCATTAAATGTAAATTGTGATAATCGTAATTAATAACCGCAATTACAATTTTATGGGAATCGACAATTATGATTTTTGTCATAATCGTGCAGCCCTACAAGGAGTATAATATTTTGCAGTCATGCAGTAACATATTGCAACTGTAAAAGGTGATTGTCTTTGGCTCAACATAGTAAAACACTTATACAAATGGATAAACCAACCAGAGTATAAAAAAACAACAACTAAATATCACAGGTCAGATTGAAAGTTGCACATTCATACAAATGTTTTTAGACTAAAATAAGAATACAAAAATATATTTATGCTTCCAGAGTGATTCATCCTTCATCTACTAGTTTTTTTGTATGTGACAAGGTTACAGGTACCACTTTCTAACAGTAGACACTACAATGATACTATACATATGAAAATCAGCATACTTATTGTTTGTATTTGAAATGGTATGCAGCTCTTTGTGATCAAGAGCAAGTATTATGATAGGGAATTAAAAAACAGCTTGAGAGGTGTTCATGATCCCACTGAAGTTCTCCTTAATGCTGAGCAAATCAGTTTAGCTTGAAGTAGCAGCAAATAAAAATTAATTCCGTCTAAAACATATATGGAGAGGATTTTAAAAATCTGATTAGCATCTACTGAAGTGATTTATGGTCCTCAAACATAGATGCCCTCAGGATTCAAACTTGAGGAGATCGGACTATGGAGTCCACGGATGCTGCCAACCACTGGATGAGATAAACCTGGTCGTTTCAATGAGCCAGTTAATGCAGCAAAGTCTGGGAAATGAAAGAAAACAATTAAATTAAAGAACTTTGTCTAATATCTCATTGTGCTTACAGGGATCGTAAAGATCATTTTAACTATATGTGCTAAGAAGAACTCAAGAATACAAACACAATTAGTGCAATCTTGACTAAATATTTCCATAGATCTGTGTTTTATTCCAATAACAGTTGCTTGTTTGGAATATCACACCACCATACTACTATTTCTGTGGTGTATAGTATGGATACAATGCACATAATGGCAATTTTCTGAATATACAGAATATGCAAATACAACAGAGCACATGGCTGTATCCCACAACGCAATGTGACTTATTTTTAGTGTGATGAATGAGCTAGAAATAATAATAATAATAATAATTCATTTTATTTAATAGTGCCTTTCTAAACACCCAAGGTCACCTTACAGCAAGCAAACTAGTAAAAACAGTAACAATAAATAAACAAGTCCTGTCAGCATTACAAAATTCAACAGCACAACTGCATACATCATAAATACAATAAAGGCTTACAAGAGAAATAATAAAAGCAATTAATAAGAGCAAGTCATAAGAAAGCCTGGGTAAAAATAAGTCTTAAGACGAGATTTAAAAGTATGAAGGCTGTCACTGTTCCGTATATTGGGGGGAAGAGAGTTCCATAGGCGAGGATCCGCAAAACTAAAAGTTCTTGCTCCCATGGTGCTTAAACCTATACGCGGCGACACAAGAGAGATCGAGTGTGAAGATCTGAGAGTGCAAGGAGGAGTATAGATGTGGAGAAGGTCAGTAAGATACGGTGGAGCAAGGTTGTGAAGTGCCTTAAATGTGAGAAGCAAAATTTTTAAATCAATGCGATACTTTACTGGGAGCCAGTGTAAACGTTGGAGAACTGGAGAAATGTGCTCTATTGATGAAGTCCTAGAAAGAACACGAGCTGCGGAGTCCTGAACCAATTGGAGTTTATAAAAAAGTTTAGAAGGAAGACCAGTAAAGAGAGCATTACAATAGTCGATACGTGAGGTAACCAGTGCATGAATAAGAATTGCAGTATTATTCGTTGTGAGAGAGGGACGAAGTAAAATATACGCAGTACGCATAATATTATTGACATGAGCTTCAAAAGAAAGTGTGCTATCCTGAATGACACCCAAACTCCTAACCTGCTGAGAAGGACAAATTGCATTATTATCAATATCCACTGTAAAACAATTAAATTTAGTCAAAGTAGATTTTTTACCAATAAGTAAGACCTCAGTTTTATCACTGTTGAGTTTTAGAAAGTTGGCTGAAAGCCAGTCTTTAATTTAGTCAAGGAAGGTGGAGGAAAAGAGCTAGAGGGTTTAGAAGACAGGTAGAGCTGGGTGTCATCGGCATAGCAGTGAAAATGGATACCATATTTCCTGAGAATATAGCCAAGAGGAAGTAAATAGATGATGAACAAGAATGGGCCCAAAACAGAACTTTAAGGGACACCAGTAGTAACTGTAGATGGTCTTGATTTAAAAATTTTTATTTGAACATGCTGATTGCGACCGGTAAGATAGGATCTAAACCAGGACAGTGGGGTGCCAGTAATCCCTACAGAAACGAACCTGTCCAGGAGTATCTTGTGCGAGATAGTATCAAAGGCCGCACTCAGGTCAAGAAGGACAAGTATATATTATCAGAAATAATATAATCTGTGATTTTGACTCATTATTTTATCAGCTTCAGGCTGCATTCAGTATGCTGTATGCTAATATTCAAATTAGCCGTTTAATTAACCAATTAGCCATGCCATTGGATATTAAATGGTTTGGCAATGATTGCAGGAATAACACGTACAACACCAACTCTAACCACAAGGTGGCACTTTGGATTAGTAATAATAACAATAGGAAACACTTTGAACTCAGTGACATCTACAAACAGAAGGCTTGCAACTGCAATGTTATTTTTCATCCAGGCTTGACGTCAATCAAGTCAGAAAGAAATAACAGATTTCTGTACTCGACAGAGTGCATGAGTGGCGAGACCGCTGAGTCAGTTGTTGCAACTATAATCTTTCATGGCACTGACGAAGCAGGAGCACACAAAAACTCTGCAGTGCTTCTGGATTACCCTCAGCTTTATATGTTTTACAGTAAAAGACTCTGTCCTACATGGACCTGCAGTTTTTTGCTAGATGTGTAAGTGAAGTTACTTGGCACTGCACTAAATTAAAACCAGATGTGGTCTGGCCATTAATGAACCTTGTAAAATGGACTTGTTACTCATTATGGTTGAGGTCTTGTCTTCATTGATTTTGAGTCCTAACAGTATCCATACCGTGTGGAGCATAACCATGGGACTTTAGATATATTGTCGGTAAAAAAAAAAACAATACCTTTATTATCTGTTGTGTTGCTGGAGTCCTCATCACTGGGCTCCACGGGCAGAACCGTGACTTTGGTACCCGTTTGTTGAATGAAATGTTGTAGGTTTACCTGCCTCAACTCTTTGGTAAGCTGTTCCAGTTCGTAATGACTCGCCTGGTGGAAAGAGGGCGGAGAAGGTGCTAATGAAATGTTTGTGTAGTATTGCAACTGGCATTCAGCCTGCAGCAATGCAGTAACAACTGGCTATAAACAGTAACAATGCTCCAATGTACTTCCACAAAATTAGCTCATGATTCCAAACACATGTGCCATTTTTGCATTTACAGCAATCACAAGAATTGAAAAATGTTTTCGACACAACCCTGCTAAAAAGCCAGCATGATTTTCATTGCTAGTTAATTCCAGTTTGGTACTAGTCTAGTTTGTGTACCTTAGCCAGCCATGATGTTCACATTTATTGAGGCTAGTCAACCTGCATCAACGTTCCGGTTTAACTACTTAAGATGCCTTGTGGGGGAAACCAACAAGTCAAGGTTTGGCTGGTTAGCCTGGTCCAGTTAGTCACTGCTGGCAGATGCAGATATTTTTTGGATGGCTCTTAAAAGCGTGAAATGGAAATGCTCCCTGCTGCCTTTGACATCACAGCTAAGGCTAATCGCTAATGAAGGACTAATGATTGAACGTTCTTGTGGTGCAATCAGCTTTGTCAGCATGTCTTGATGTCAATCAGAAATACACTACACAACTTTTATATCAGTACAGATTTTAAAACAACTAGGTATCCTTCACTTGCCAACTTTGTAAATGGTTACAGAAGAAAAACTGGACATCATAGATTAAAAAACTTACAAAGATGACACAGTACCAAATGATAAACATAATCGTTCAAAAATCGGTTAAAATACCAAACGTGTTTGATATCCTTCAACTGGATGGAATCATTGTCTGAAATTAAAAAATCTGAGTCTGGGGCCATGGATCACTTAGATTTTATGTGAAATCAGTGACTTTTCGGCAACTACAGTAGTATCCACTTATCCAGACTGCAAATTAGAGCAAACTTTTTGTAGTGTATTTTAGCCTTTAGTGCCCATGAACAAATATGGCTGAATTAAAATTGTGTTCTTCTGGGGGATCCTGCACCACCCAAACAACTGGTACTAAGATGAACAGAAATAATTTAATGGTTTATCTAGGTACTGTAGACTTCTTTGCAGCCAACACAACATACAGTGGGTATAGAAAAGAATCGCCCCCCTTTAAAAATAATCACATTTTGTTGCTTTGCAGCCTGAAATGAAGACGGACACAGTTTTTGTTTTATCCAGCTGTATTTACTCAGTGCAACTTATAACGTCCAAGTAGAAGATATAACACCAACATGTCAGAAAAAAAAACAGAATCACTGAGTTGGAAAAAGGATCACCCCCTTGTGTCAGTATTTTGTTCAACCACCTTTTGCTTTAATTACAGCCTTTATTCTGTTGGGGTTTATCTCTGCTAACTTTACACATCTAGACTTTGCAATATTTGCCCACTCTTCTTTGCAGAACTGCTCAAGTTCAGTTAAATCTGATGGTGAGTGTTTGTGGACTGCAGTCTTCAAGTCATTCCACAGATTTTCAATGGGGTTTAAGTAGGGTGGCCATATGTGCCATTTATATGGGACACGCCCTGGCCAGGATTTTTATATTACCTAAAACATCCAAAGTAGTTTGACCAATAACATGCAGGTATTGTACATAATTGACAAATCGTGGCATCGCACGTGAGAAGGTGAGAACGATCAAGGCGATGCAAATACGCGCACGTGTTTGTTCGTTCGTTCGACTTGAAGCGTACCAATCATTGTATGATACCAAAGAACTGCGAGAGCGATTTGAAAGCATAAGGAGCCGTCTGCTCTGCTCTCTATAGCTCTCGTGAAATAATGTCATACAACAATGGATCTGCACAGTGCAAACAGCCAAAACCTGAATATTTTAGGTAATATAGAAATCCTGGCAAGGGTGCGTCCCGTAAAAATGGCCCGTATGGTCACCCTAAGTCTCTCTGAGCTCTGACTAGGCCATGCAAGGACTTTTACCTTTTTCTCCTTTAACCGCTGTGTGCTCAGTTTTGCTGTGTGCTTTGGGTCATTGGAAGGTAAACCTTTTTCCCACTGACAACTTTCTGGCAGAGGGCAGCAGATTTTCCTCAATAATTTGACTGTGTTTTGCCCGATCCATTGTTCTATAACAGTATATCAACACCTTCACTGTAGGAATGGTATTATTTGGAGGGTGAGCTGTATTGGTCAAACATATTGTTGGCCAAATACTTCAATTTTAATCTCATCTGCCTCAGAATCCTCAAGGTGTGTTTTGGCAAAGCTCAGTTGTGACTGCATGTGGCCTTTCTTGAGGAGTGGCTTTTTTCTTGCAACCCTACCATACAAGCCAGATTTGTGGAAAATTTGTGATATTGTTGTCACACCCACACAATGACCACTCTTTGTCATAAATTCCTGCAGCTGCTTCAGAGTTGCTGTAGGCCTCTTGGTCGCCTCTCTGACCAGTTTCCTTCTGGCTCTTTCATCCAGTTTGGAGCGAAGTCCTGATCCAGGGATGGTCTGTGTTGTACCAAATACCTTCAACTTCTTAATAATAGACTCCACTGTGCTTCTAGACATTGACAAAGCTTTTGAGATTTTATGTATCCATCTCCTGACTTGTGTCTGTCCACAACTTTATCCCGGAGATTATTTGACAGTGCCTTGCCACCCATAGTTGATTGTTTGCTTCAGTTGCGCTACCAAGGACTGAAATCCTCCAGGAAAGCTCTTTTCATGCTGAGCTGATCAAAATGACCACAGCTGATCACATCTGAAAGTCAAGTGGCTTTGTGTGATTAGCTACAACTGATTGAGTTTACAAGTCATTTTTAGGAGGGGGTGATCCTTTTTCCAACTCGGTGATTCTGGTTTTTGTCTTTTTGTCAATATGTTGGTGTTATATCCTTCACTTGGATGTTCTAAGTCGTTCTAAGAGTAAATACAATATTAATAATATATTTTAAAGGGGTTGATTCTCTTCTATACTCTCTGTATACTGGTGAAAAGGAATTTTTTTAGTAAGAATCAGTGGCACAACACCACTGATTACCATTGCAGTCTTCGATTTAAAAATTTCATATTGATTACTCAAGTTTTTGTTTGTGAACCTTAACGTACCTGCCGTCTCTTGCATGACTCAGCCAGTGAGCGCTCCACTGCTCTTGAGCTGTTTTCAAGCTGGGCCGTGTGTTGAGCCTGAGCCTTGAGTTCTGCTTTCACTCTCTGAAGTCTAGCCTTCACTTCTCCCTGACTGGCCTGCTGGCTCTCTCTGATCTCCTTATGCTGCTTTTGAGCCTCTATGCCTGCCTCTACGCCCTGCAGAGACATCAGCCGCTGTCCCAGATCCACCTCACAGCCGCGCAGCCGACTGCTCAACTCCTGGAGGCGCTCCTGCAGCTGCCTCTCGCTCTCCCGCTCAATCTCGAGCTCGGTTGCCCAGAATTCTTCTTCCTCAATCTCTACCTTGTTCCTTCGCACCTGCTTTTCCAACCTTGAAACTTCCTCCATCATCTTCCCATACAGCTCATCGTCCTCTAGTCCAACTCTTTTCTCAGTCAACATTCGAAGCTCTGTCTCGTATGCCTCCATCCTGCTGTCTAGAACCGAAAGAGTCTCCCTCTGCAGTCTCAGCAGTTGGGTAAGATCCTCCACTCTTTGGCCTGATAACCGAGGGGACAATGACCGTGAATTGTGGGCACTTTTTAATAAAACCTCTCGTTGTCTGGCACTGCTGTCACTGAGCCTGCCTCCACTAAGGATGTCCCTCAAACTGCGGGGCACACCGGTTAAGGTCAGAGATTTGCGGCGTGGTTCGTGCCGACTGAAGGACCGGTCACCCGGAGCTCGGAGCTTGGCCATCAAAGGAAGGCTCTGCCGATGTAAGCCACGCTCTGGGCCTCGAGAATTCAGACCTTCGGTTGAGGGGTATTCATTGACAGATGGACCTGTGCGGTGAAGGATAAACTGCACGTCACCGGCATACTGCCCCCAAGTGTTCAGAGAGGCCACCGGACTCTCGTGAGGAACAAGATGTCTCTCAGTGTCCCTCCATTTTTCAATCAGTGTATAGCGTCCTGTGCGACCTATGAAAAAGAATAAGAATTACAGTGCTGAATAAGACTACCAATAAGACTGGAGCCATAAATATTAAATGTGCTCTTGGTAATTTTTATTTACTATTATGTAGCACAATTAACTTCATGCTCAGCATCATGCTAAAGCAACCGCTCTTTATAAATACATTGTCTGATTTACAATCTCACATTAGTGTACATCATTTAAACATACTTTCCAAAAGTAGTAACTTTAATGGGGGAAAAAACTCTTGTAATTCTTGTTTAAATCTGTCATGTTATGACTTATCATTGTTATGTGAATACACAAATATTTTAAGGATGTTTTTCCCAATCCTGTTCCACCCTTTTCCGCCCATCATTTCCTGTCCTTCTCCACTACCATATAAATTGCTTAAGGGCAAAATGACCAAATAGTTCGTCTTCATATGGTTAGTGCATTTCATCTGAAGATACACATTTGAAACAGTGAGCAATGATTTTTTTATACCTTCTTCCCCCTGTAATAACATAGAGATTACTCCCAAAACTGTGAAAGAAGATTGAGGTGTTTTTAAGAGTTTTTTCTTTCAGTAGAATGAGTCAGATTTCCCATGTCAGTGGGCACTTTGGTTGCGCCAGCTCGTTTCTCACTAATACAAGAGGGTGCCTTTAGATTATACCAGTCTGAGTGCAGCTGAAAATAGAATCAAACGGTGGCGTCAACCAAAACAGGTTTCAAAAACAATGTAATTAACTGAAATCAGCTTCATTGAGCCTCTCCTTGAAACTCCTTAAAATATGCCTAATGTCTTTAGACAAGCTGTTAAACTAGTATCAAGCTGTTGGAAAGCCAATACAAACTCTCTGATACTTAATCTTCTTTTCAATTATGAAATGGATGATGATTACTCAATCAACCCAGATGCCAGATGGTTTTAGGAAGCAACTATACCTTCCATGATTTAAGTCTTCCATGCCACTGCTGGGGAGTAACCAACCAAAAATACAAAAAAAATTTTTTTCGGTAGTAGTATAAGCTCTTTTCCAGTAAAGAGCTACTTTTTTCAACAGATAGCAGTAGCATGACAGAATTGTTTATGAGTGTTTTTGTGTCATATTGTGTTACTCCTTGTGTGTTGGGGAGCCTGGTTCATTTTGGTGAATCAGTTCGTTCAGATGATTCATTTCATTGAACTAGCTATTAATTTGAGCCATCACTAAATGCCTGTCCCAAATGACACTCTAATTGTGTTCTTCCTCTGAATTCACACTTTATTGACCTAATGCCTCTTTGACTCTTGGGTAGAGGTCTGCTCAGCAGAAGTGTGCATCAAAGGTGCATAGTGGTTTAGTGATTGCAAAGGGGCGCTTGTGGGCCAAACCTAAAATGACAAATGGGACACCCTTTGGTCTTGTGTACTGCACGAGGATGAGCATGTGGCAGCCATTGTAAATCCACAAGACCACAAGTCTATATGAAGTGGAAAGGGCCTAAATAGTATTCCCAAAAGTCTCTGTGATGTGTTTTAAGTGTTCCCGCGCTATGTGCAAATTTAACTGAGTTCACGTCAATGAAAGCAACAGATATGCGCTGCATTTTACTCATCATTAGCTAATTTCAAGATCAAAGACAGCGGCATCTAGACATCTAGGTGTAAATAGGAAAGACAGCGGCATCAGCACTCGTAAAATAATTTGGTCTTTTAATGAGGATGATTGTGTGTTGAGCATCTACGACTTACTTTCAGTTTCATTTGCGGCAGTTTGCATGTCGGCTTGCTGAAGAGATGCTCAGCTACTCATCTGCAGCAATGCATGTTGCATTAGCGCTGTCATATCTGACTATAACATGATATATAGCCTATAACAAGCTCTCACACGCTCTCTTTTTTGGGAGTAGTAAAATTTACATATGTGGTTTCAGCAACCAGATGCATTTACACTTGTCCAGTTTCATCTGGAATGCATCTCAGACCACCTCCTGAAGTGGTTTGAGAGATTGGATTTACATTAAATCGAAGTCTCTAAAGTGTTTCGGAGGGGATTTTCACAAGGTCTTTTCACGATCGGATAGCCATCCGTTCAGAGAAAACGCATGAATTGACAAGGTGTAAACAGTCCCAAATATTTAGATAATACTGCTACTTATAACCATGGTTCCCATTCATGAATATCAATTAGGATAAATCTGTTTTAATATTTATGTTTAATGTAGTGTTCAAGTTTGATAATGTCTAATTTGTTAAGTCATACAAGTTTGGAACGACATGAGGGTGAGTAAATGATGAGTTTTCATTCTTTGGTGAACTACTGTGAATATTTTTGTAGCTTCTCCAACACTTTTTAATACTTTTTTTTTTTTTTTTTTTTTTTAAATATGAAGGACTACATTAAAAGAGCTACTTCATATTGAGACTCCCTACCAATTGCTTGAGCAAGAGCGATGACCACTTCCTGGCAGGTGGTGGCCTCTGTGACCCCACAGACCACACGCTGAACTCCATCGACCCACACTTTCAGCTCCATCCCGGGTCAAACTCTGGAGGGTCTGGGGCTGCTGGCCTGTTACATCATACCATCCTGCTCTAGGGGTCCAGTGCTACAGCCGTCACCCCCTCACGGCAACTCTGCAAAAACCACAACATCGGTTAGGAAACACCTGGGAATGATATATACTTCTCACTGCCTCGTGCAGATATTCTCATACTAAAAATGTGGGCGTCTGAAATGAATTTGATCATTGACTGGTATTTCGTTTAGCAAGTCTGTTCATCACACAAAGCTATTTTAAGGCGCCAGAGGGATTGAAATATAGCACGCATATAGATCCCTTATGGTGTCATTTTCTGAGCTTTCTTAAGTTAAGTAGGACAGCAAAATGGGTTTGGAACGATAAGAGGTAAGCAAATGATGACAAAATGGCCATTTTGGGGAGAACTATCCTTTTAACACTATTGTTTTGCTGCTTTATTTTCTTCTGTAAATGCAAATGATTTATTCCCATAAGATTTGTCTCTTTGTTCTCAACTAAATGTTTACTTTTAATGAGGTTCCAATGTGGCATTTAACAAAGCCTAAACAAATACCCATTAACTTTACAACAATCTGAAATGCATCTGTCTAGGAACAAAGACAAGTGTTATAATGAGAGCCTTTCCTAATCAGGAAAGCTTTGTAAAAGGAAATGACTGTGCTATTAGCAGGAGACCTCGTGTGCTTCCAGATGGACACATTTCCTTCCTCAGATCTCTGACTAGCTGATCAATCAGCTCTTGTATTGTATGTAACAAAGAAACAAGATACTGCTGTCTAAAAAAATGATTCAGTCTCTTTGAAACAACAGCTCACGCATGGTCCCAAAATAGCATATTTTCCAAGAAACGAATTGGCCATGAATCTGCTTTTTGTGGAGGTGTGCCGAGGGTGTGAAGAGCAGGAGGATGACATGAAAAACAGTTGGCCGCAGTGCGAATGTCCTGCTGGATAGTGAGACCAGCTGGACCTGACATTATGTTCCTCCCACTTCTGTGAACAGGTACAATTTTAGGACGATGGGCTGGCAACCATGCATGCCTGAGCAGGGGCACGTACAGGATTTCTTCTGAGGGTACGCACAGAGTTTTTTGGGGGGAGCGGATGGGGGGGGGGACCAAATGATCAGTGAGAGCAGAACGAATGTGTCACACCTTTTAAAACTCAACAAAATGGTAAAATACATATATCAAGAGCATGCTCACAGATGAAAACAGAGAACAGCGTTGGATGAAGTGGATTAGATCCCTGCAAGGGCCTCAAATATAGGCCCTAGCCAGTCTTGTGATACATTTTTATACACAATTTTTTTGTTAACATATGCCAACAATGACAAGATTATGCATAGTCTCCTTTTATTTTTTAGTATATTCAGGACAATTATATTTTGTCCATTCTCTCTATTTCTTTGAAGAAGTTCTGATATCAAAACAAGTCCATTCTTTTAATCTCTTCATGTTTATAGAGCCTTGAGTTTGGCTCCAGAGGAGGGGCAGGGACGATTTACTGACTGTATGGGGCACTGCGCTGGAAAAGTAAAGCACTGCAGCAGCCAAAGACCACAGCATCAAGACAGAGCTCCTCTCTGAATGAAATACTACACCCGTCCTGCGCTAATAAAATCTGCAAGCACACAAAAGTATGCATTACTCATAAAAAAACAACGTGCAGTCCTCAAAGGACAACTCTTTGGACTAAAAACCAGGTTGTTAAAACATATAATTTTCCAAGTTTTTTCAACAGAATTAGCTCAAGATCCTTGGTAATTGAAAAAAATTAAAATGATATAGAAAAGAAAAAATTTTTTTCCTTAAAGTTCTGGAAATCTTATACAGATAAAATTCATTCATAATTCAGCTTGAAAAACAGCTTAAAAATGAAACAATTTTTATCCAAAGCAGCTTACAGTTTTTATCATTATACACTTTATCAGGACATGTTTCCAAACCATGACCTTGACGTTGTTATTGTCACGCTCTATCCATTTCTGCAACAGTAACCCTCTCGTTTGAATACAAGATATAATAATACTTTGCATTAAACAGTCAAGCCATTATTTCCAAGAACGACCCAACAAAAAAAGTGTCTTTTCAATTGCTTTTTTCAACCCCGTATGGGAGTACGCTGAATATCTCTGGTTTAGTGCAGAGACATATGGTGCGGTGGAACCCCTATAACAGCACTTTTGTCTGAGCCAAAATGGAAAAAAAGAGAGCTTATTACAACAAAACCAAATAGCTACTGGAGTCAATGTGGAGTTCTTGCCAAATTTCAAATTTTTGATTTATACATGGTTTGGAATCATTAAGAATCCAGGCTGCCAATGCAAGGACATTCAGATCACATTTAGATTGGCCCATAAATTTATACAAAAAAAAAAAAATTCACACTTGGAATTGTCACACAACAGTTACTCTTTCTTCATCTCTATTTAAGTGTGAGATACTCAGCAAATGTAAAAAAAAATGTGATGCTTGTTGCATACTGCATTTCATTTTCTTTCCATTTTGCCCTTCTGTGAGCAGATAAGTGTTTTGTCCTTCAATTTTACTACCCTTTAGTGTCTATGGCAACAGATGGAGTCCTGTAGCCGATAGTCAGATGCATTGTGGGGTTATTTTATGTGTCCTTTTCCGACTAGCGCAAAAGTGGCCTGCAGCCGACTCTATTCTGACATTTTTCCAGGAGCGATCACTGAAGCAAGGAAGCCCAGTTAACGGATGGCTTCATGTCTGCTGCATATATGTTTGACAGAATTAACCAAAAACACAAGGGAACCAAGGTTGCCGATCAGACATCATACAAACGTCTGCCCTAAGGTCTTCATGAAAGCGCAAACAAACGTCACGAGACAATTTCAAGTCAAAAGTGTGGAAATTGAGAAGTACTACATTGGGCATTTTTAACAGTTTTGTTCAGGCCTTAATCAGGAAGATCCTGTGTTGAATTGCATTGCTGCCCCACCATGAGCACTCCATTCAATCATATGCACATCATGCTGAGCACAAGCGATCACTTTAGTTGGTCTAAATCGAGCACTGCAGAAGTTAATCAAGCACCATTTGTGAAGCACTTGGGAACCGACTGTCCATTTGCTGGAGCCATTTCTGGCTTCATCGTGATGACATCATCCCACATGAAAACTATGGGCCAGATTTAATAACAGCTTGCGCAAACCCTCTTTTGGCATTAACAAACTACTTTCAGGATTTACTAAAGACACGGTTAGCGATGAAAAGGCGTGGACAGAGTTGTTCTGACCTTATTGCATACGCATTTGTAGGAGTTTCCATTCCAGATGCAAAGTTTATGGAAGGAGAGTATTTAAATAAATCATGCAAGGTGATTTACTAAGGTTTTGCACTAGTCAGTTTACTGCTATTTAAACCTTTATTTAAGACCCCCCAAAAAAGCATGTCTTAACCCATATTGCGCCTGTGTTGTTAATAGATTACACACACCTGATTAGCATCAGCTCAGCTTGTTTGCAACCCTACGCTAATTTGCGCAGCTCTTGGTAGATTGCATTGGTCCTTATGGAAATGCGCTGCATGCTTCTGTGTTCTTTTTAAGAATTGTGATTATCTCTATTCAGGATCTGTTCCCAATAATTCTGTTCCCCTTATTTCTATATATAGTAGCATTCAGACCATCAGTACGGCGTGAAGAAAACTCTTGCACCATGAAATGTGACAGAGGCTGTTGTTTGCAGACAGAAAGCAGGAAGGAGGTATAAATTCCACCAGCAGCGATTTTGGGAGGTTTCTCTTGCTAAGGCTAATCTCAATGAACTCTGCTGAGTAATATCCTCTTACCATTGCTCATACTTCTGATTCAGGCATCTGAATTTTCCCTCAGGAATCAATTAAGTAAGGTACCCAACGTTTTCCCGCCAATTTCACTGTATTCCTTGTCCAACTTTGTGTGTAAATATAAGCAACAACCTGCTTATTAAAAATATCTGGCAAACACTTCTTATGCTTTGTCCGTGACTAAAATAATTTGTGGTGATTGCTAAGACAAACAAAACGTATTATTGATCAAACTTAATGTTAAACAAATCGCTAACCCGAAGTTAAACTTTGGATGGCATTTCGGGATGCGGGTTTTTGTATGGGCACATTTTTCAGGAAAAACTTTCGATTTGGCTGATCCAAAAGCTACATTAAAACTAATATTTAAAAAAAAACAAAAAAAAAAACATATCCTCTAAATGGGAAATTAACACAGCATATATGTCCAACAAAACCTTACCTTTGGATGTTAAGGATCAAGTGAGCTCTTGGCAGAGGCTAAATCTTAAAGTGTGTAAGGATAGGATCAAATTAAAAACAAATGATACAAGATTCGAGGTCCATCAAAAATCAGAGAGAATTAGCTAATTTCCTGATTAACGATGGTGTGCCGTTATTATTGCTGTGCTATTTTGGATTAACCTTTTATTCTGCTTGTGCTTGCACTAGCTGCCATGCTACATGTAATTACTAGCAATTTATGCACTCTCCCATAATTAGTTGCAGGCCCCGGCTTAAACCGTTCCAAGAGTAAATAAACTCCAAGAAACAGATAGATAGATAGATAGATAGATAGATAGATAGATAGATAGATAGATAGATAGATAGATAGATAGATAGATAGATAGATAGATAGATAGATAGATAGATAGATAGATAGAATAATGTTTAATCTGTATTTGTACATTTTATGAAAGTAAATGGGACCCAAAAGTTTCGAGGTCCATGAAGGGCATAAAAAAGTGTGAAATTAATCCAGACTTGATAGTAACACAATTACTTTGAACAATTAACAGATTGAAATGTATTGTCAAACCTCACCTCACATGACCAAATGGGAGGCTGAGGTATGAGGTTGATCAATGTTTTGATTCAAGAGTTATTACAGCCTTAAGTGCAAAGTATACTTCGTTTTTTTACACATATGCGAGGGTCAGCGTACAGAGCGCGCGACGCAAATTTCATCACCAGAATAGTACGCAATTACTGTGCGTCCACCACCCAATTTTTGTAATCGCTCCTACTTTGTACATGCGCATTGACTTGGTTTTGCACTACTGGCCCAGGCCACTGTTTCGCAGAAGAAAATTAAACTAAAGTGACAGAACAACAACAAAATAGCGGAGACTGCTTGTCAATGCGGCCAACAAAAACAGATGGCCGCATTGACAAGCACTTCTGTGAGAGGGTTGTGAGTTAGCAGCAACTTCAGTTTAAAAGACTACAAAGACATTTTCATCGGTCATCATTTCTGGAGAAATATAGCACAGCTGGAGTAAGATGAACCTTTCTAGAGTGCATGTGTCGACCGCATGCATTTGCGCACTCTGTCAAATGGAGTATACTTTGAAAGCCTGCATGTTTTGACTTTGCGCATACGCTAGTGTACACGTAAAAAACTGAAGAATACTTTGGGCTTTACATTTCTATCTGTTCTTCACAGAAAGTGACTGTGTTGCTTCAAACACATTGTACTGTAATACTGCACTACTATTTAATGCACTTTTTATATTTGTATTTTTGCATATTTGTTTCTTCTTTATCAATAATTTATTCATGTTTTTCTATTAGCAGCATTCAGAGTGGAAAGCAAAGTAAGAATTTCATTGTGCAGGGAATGTGCATATGACAATAAAAGCTATGAAATTTGAAAACTTACAAAATAGTCATCTGGATTAATTTCATGCTATCTTTTGATCCTTATTGGAGCTTGTAAGATTTGGGTCCCATTGACTTTCATAATATGGACAAAAACAGCTGAAACATTCTTCAAAATATATTCTTTTATGTTCCACAAACAAATGAAAGTCATACTGGTTTGATTATGATATGAGGGTGAGTAAAAGATGACAAAAGTTTTGTTTTTGGATGAACTAACCCTTCACTTTTGGGGCCACTGTATAGTGAAGTTACTGAAAAGATTAGCTAGTGACTAATGCATTGTTGAGGCTTGTTATCCGAAGGTGCAGGTGGTTATCCGAAGACTTGGGCCTTGATTTTACACCATGGAAACTGATAACATTGAGGTTACACATTCCACGCAGCTGGGCACTGAATGCTGAAGGAGATAAGATGTTTCTAGCCTCCATCTCGCTTTCTCTAATCAAACACTTGACACTCATCGTCCATGAGTTATATATGGCCAGGAATGGAATATGGCCAAAGTTGTTTTTTTTTTTATTTAGAATAACTGTTTTTTTCCTGGTATTCTCTTATGAGCTACGGCAGAATTGGAATATATTTTTAAACCTCGTGTTTTGAATCTTGTTCCTTCCCGAGGGAAAATTAAGGTGCAAAGTAAACAAACAACACCCCTACACAATCAAACTGAGCCACGAAAGACCTCCCATCTGCCAAACACAGAGGAGAACTGTGCCCTCACCAAATCTCCCATCTGGGACAACGGAGGAAGGAAAACAAACCTTCTTTCCCCACCCCAGTAAAACAATAACCTGAGGTTTTGGAAGAAAGTGAGTGAATCCACAGTGAAATCTCCAAATCTTGCTCCTAAACCCCCTGGGGTGTCCTGCAATGTATTTTGCTACGCTTGATTCTTCCACGTAGTTTGGCACATTTAGCCAGTAAGAGTAAAAAACAATGAGGAGCTTTCATGGAAGGTAACAGGAAAACAACGCTTTCCTCAAAACTACGAAGGGAATAAAACCATGCCAGCTTTTAAACAAAGTCCTTCTCTAAGGATTTTAGATGGCAAGAACAGTGGTATTTAACAACGGACCAGCAAGAGCCGCCTTCGCTCAAAATCTAAATCTCAGAGTTTGTTGAGACCCAAGTCTCAGCTGAGGTGCTTTAATAAACTTCAGAATAAACGTCGACCCCTTAAAACCCAGCTCCACACCCACAGCTAGGCCTTAGACAGGCACAATCGCTAACATCTGGATGGCACGTTTCGCTGGATATAATACTGCCTTTGTTCTTTTGCCATGGTTGTGATCAGCAGGCTAGCTTTGAAGGACCAGCCAAAAACTGAGCTACGAGAGTACTGGATAAAGTGTCAATGTGATTAAGTAGTTTATTAATAATCTCTCATCTTACCACTTTCAATTAAGTAGTTACGCATTCCCACTGTAAAGCATCTGCATACTTTTGTGGCAATACAAAAATGCACTAAAGACACTTTTTTGGATTAAATGAGTATTTTGCAGTAAATAGCCTACATGATATAAGATATGATAAAAGGAAAATAACCAAATTATTTTATAAATCTCCATAATGTCTTTGTTAGAACCACCACGGCCAGTAATTTTTCTATTGCATTGCATGATAACATGGATCGTACTTCCCATACTAATTAGTCATTCAATTTAAAAGTGCATTAAATATGTTTCAATAACTAGCCTAGATAATAACTGGGTTTAGAAGTAACTGTATACTGCATCAAATAAAAGTTTAAATAGTCAAACTAACGCATACTGATATTTTTTAAGCTGACTGATCCTTCAAATATCAATAATTGAATAAAAATAACATTGAAAAAATCAGAAAATAATAAAAGTTGAAAGACTTTACAAATAAAATAACCCAAATCTACCATCTCTATATATCTATACGCCAGAGTGCGTACACACCTCACGCACCGGATGCCGTGCGCGCACCCAAAGACAGTTGGACATAGTGCTGTATCAGAGGTAAAAAAATGATATAAATACTGTTCGGTTTCTGGCACAAACCGATCGTTTCGTGTCTTAGGACATCAATGTGTCTGTGCATATTAAAAAAATGGCCCCAGCAGTCTCTATTTAAAAAGTATTATTCAATAACAAACGGTTTTGATTTGGTCACCCTGTCAGCGCTGAGAAAAGTAACACGCAACACGTGGTTTGAATAATAATTTACAGCAGAGTAATGCTTATAAACTTTAATAAGCATTCAATTAAAAAAATAAATATCAAAAGACAAAACATCTGAATACAGCAAAAACAGTTTGACGCCATTATTGAAATTAAACTTGAGTTACAAATCCGTGGAAATACTGACCCCTTGTGTCTTTAGCGTTTTTTTATTGCATCTTATAAAATTAAAATGGAAATGTTTTATTCAAAGTTCATAATTAGTATTTAACATATGTTTATGTGTATATATATATATATATATTAAAATGAAATTAATTATATATATATATATATATATAACATGTTTATGATCAAATAATAGACTGTATGCTAAAGTCGTAAATCTTTCACTTTGTCTTTTTTTCAACACTCTTGGTGTTGCAAAATATTTTGTATTTGTATAATTACTTTGCAATTACTTACATTATAATACAAATATATGAATAATGATTAAAAGTGAACTCAAATATAAAACGTATCGCAAGGTTAGTGTAGAGAGAATTCCAAACCATAAGTTATACAATCAATTAGGCTTTTTCTAAGTAAAATATTTCTAGCTACGTTTCATAAAACGAATCCAGCCCTGATATTAATGTTCATAATCTTTAAGTGAATTTTCTTTGCCTGTTAGTCATATTATTTTTGGTTACTATATAAATGATCATTTCAATTATGACAAATGTAATATTGCAAACTAAAACATCTCCACAAACTGTAAACAGAGAAATGCAGATATACCAATATTTTCGCTCTTGACATTTTATAGAGACAAGAAAAGCGCTATTTTTAATTTCCCCCATATTCTTTACTTTGTATGCTTTGTTTCACAATTACGTGTATCTGTTAACTGTATATTTACATTAAATTGCAAAGAAAATAAACGTATAAAGTAAAGCATCAAGTCAAACGATAAACATCAAGGCCGAGTAATTTGTATTAGTCAGTCAATAAACGTAGACGATTGGCTCCTTGCGCGCAAAAACATGACTTCTGAGTGACAGGTGAAACATCCAATAAGATTCCACATACGCGATGACGTACGCACGTACCACGTTCCGGTTATATTTAGGGCCTATTTAAGGAGCAAGTCAGTCTACGCCAATCCTGCCCTCAGCGCTTGTCAAAAGCCGGTCATTGCCCAGTATCGAATATGTCTTCGCACATTCTCGTGTGCTATTACACTGTAAACTAAAGTGCATGTGTTATCCGTCGTATAACAATATTTAGCCTTGAATTAGCGGTGTTGTGAATCGGTCAGTTATCGATCAAGCCCTCCGCCCTACACAGCTCCCTGAAAGGACGCCGATCGGGATTATTTGTATCTACAGATGTTTCGTCCGTTATAATGCAAGATGCATGCTGATGCTCGGAAGGGGCTGCTCGACTGCGTATTACTCGTCCTTTTAACCTCCTCCACCGACTGAAAATAATCGTAAACCGCTGAAAACCGTTGATATTTTGGGGTAAGTGATCATTTAGGTGGACGCAAACCGTGTGTCCGCCCATATCTATGTGAAGCACAGCCTCCGAGCGCAGGCCATGTAACGTTAGCCTAGAAAGAATAGAATTCAGCTCTATTTTAATTTTTTTCTAGTTTGATAAAAAAAAAAAAAATACTTCAAAACCCTCTAACTGGTATATGCGGCTTTATACACGCCGTTTAAATGGATAATAACATTATGGCAAGGTCATGATATAAACGCTCGAGTCATCAGAAGCTTTTCAGACGCGGAACTTACAGCAAACCCAGAGGTACAAATGATAGAAAAGCTAGTTTAACGTGTGTGTTAACAGTCACGAGCAATCATGTGCAGAGAAAGCTAAGAATTGGCGAAATGTGAGCTTTTGTGTGTGTATGATTTGTTCCAGTGTATTATTGTCATCGCACGCCCAAGATAAATTCGGGCCCTGCGTTACAATGGTGCTTAACTATACTTATTAACGATTCACTTATTTTAACTGGAGTTAAAATCGAATCCACACTTTATTGCACATAACATAAATCACATATGCTCTAAAAGATACATAGAATACTTTAAGGTTGGGTTTTCATTAAAAACATGTCAAATGATTTCAAATCGTAGTATTATGTTGCAGTCTGTGAGTCTTTTAGTTAGTCGATTTTAAATTCTAATCAAGAAAAGTCTGAGTAAAAAGGTCTGGCACGTGACTAGCCTATAAATATGTAACTTTTAAAAAAAAATTGTTAATCATGTATTTTATCTTAGTGTATCACCTGTTGAATTGATTGTTAACTGTAGATTAATCGGTTTTAGTTATTGTAATGAAAAGTGAGATTATACTCATGGTAAAGTTAAAGAGTAGATGCATGTAAGATCATACGTAACTTCATAACATGTCAAATCATGCTATTCTATCGTTAGTTATGCGTTGAATCGGTTTATTTAACTGATTATTTAGTTGTAGTAATAAAGTTATCGAAGAAAATCTATTCTATTGTAAAGATGGTTAATGATGTAGTTGTCAGCAAAATGTTTTATTTATTTATATATATATATATATATATATATATATATAAAATTTTAAACCATAGAGAACTGTAGTATTCATTTGTGGATCTGTTGATTCAGTTCCATATTGATTATTTATTTCTAGAAATTAATAAAAAAAAATTCCCTTCATATTTGTGTTCTTGTTGCTATGGTGTATTTTCTATGTGAAACGTATGGTGGCCGAGAAGTGCAAAGCAAATCCCAATTCTGAAAACAAAATAACAAATTACAAACGCAAATGCAAGTCTAAAAAACTAAATAACAATTCAGAAAGCACAACAACAATTCCAAAAACAAATGAACAAGTTAGAAAACACAACAAATCAGACAAACCAGAAGAGTTGGGTATAGTTTGAGACCGCGCTATTGGTTTGAGATTACTCACTGCTGACTGGACGAGACATTTGTCAATCAACGTATACAGGAAGAACCAGCCGAAGAACAGCAGAGTCATGGTAGAAAGTTCGGAGATGGTATTAAAGTAGCTCAGTTTAAATGTATTGTCTGACAATACACAAACTTACTATGGAATAAAAATATGGGGTGTCTATTTACACTTAAAATACTTAAAAGTGGCTGTAAACCATCAGCTCCAGTGGCGCAGATGGATAAGCGCGTGTCGTCGGCTTTTTGACGCGATCAACCCGGGTTCAATCCTGCCTTTTGCCGAACTTTTTTTTTCTCCCTTTTCAAATCTCGTATCACATCATAAAGGCATTTATTTTCAATAAAAAAATAAGGAAATAGTCAAAAAGTTGAAAATAAATTATCGGTTAGGGTACATGTAGGGAGGGCTTTATTGCACCAATAAGGTGGCATCCATTTAATAATTAAAATTATAATTTACACTCAATACGTTATTATTGCGTACTGTTTTATAATGAAAAAGTTGAAAATAAAGTATCGGGTAGGGTTAGGGTATGTACTACAATACTGAAGTGCAGATAATTGCCACTATTTGCAACAAGTAGTATACTTGATAGTAGAAATCCTGCTATTTTAACAGTGTAAATAGGTATTTGCATTTAGTGTAAATAGCATATTGCTAAAAATACTGCTATTTTCACTTAGTGTAAATAGAATCCATTGCTAATAGGAGATTTGAAAAGGGAGGAAAAAAAAGTTCGGCAAAAGGCAGGATCGAACCCGGGTCAATCGCGTCAAAATGCTGACGACACGCACTTATCCATCTGCGCCACTGGAGCTGATGTTTAACAGCCACTTTTAACTAAGTATAAATAGACACCCGTATTTTTTATTCAAGGGCAATTCATACATTTAAACTGAGCTACTTTAATACCATCTCCGAACTTTCTACCACGACTCTGCTGTTCTTCGGCTGGTTCTTCCTGTATACGTTGATTGACAGATGTCTCGTCCAGTCAGCGGTGAGTAATCCCAAACCAATGGCGTTGTCTCAAACTATACCTACCTCTTCCGGTTTGTCTGATTTGTCGTTGTGTTTTCTGACTTCTTGTTGTGTTTTCTGAATTGTTATTTTGTTTTTTAGACTTGCATTTGCGTTTTAATTTATTTTGTTTTCAGAATTGTGATTTGTTTTGCACTTCTCGGCCACCGTAGAAACGCATGTTGAAACCCACTGAAACAGAATTTCCCCAAGGGGATAATAAAGGTACTACTACTAATGTTTTAATAGTGGTGTTTAAAGGCTGTTTTTGGGTCAGTCCATTAAACCTGGCATTTTAAGTAAATGTCAATGTGACAAACTTTTACTGTCTTGCCTGATTGTAGGATGCTGTGGTGGTGTAATGGTTAAACATCTGGGTTAGTAGCTGAATGGTTGTAAGTTCAAACCGTAAAAAGGCTTTATTATTGTACTATCACTGTCGTGCCCCTGAGCAAGAAGTCTAACCCTAGGTTACTCCAGCAGACTGAACCTGAAATTAGTGAAGGTGCTTTGGATAATAGCATCAATTAATTGACATTTATTTAAAGTCTGGTAAGTACATTAAAGCTGGAGCTGCAAAAGTCTTTAGCTGCTCATTGATTTTCATCTTTTTTTTTCTGCTGCAGGTGAAGAATGACAGAATATAAGCTTGTGGTCGTAGGGGCTGGAGGCGTGGGCAAGAGCGCTCTCACCATACAACTCATCCAGAACCACTTTGTGGATGAATACGACCCAACCATAGAGGTGAGGCATGTGTACCTCTGTCTCTAGCGCCGTCAGGACACTCACTTTCTACTGCCACGCAAAGCTGTGAAACTCAACCACATGTGATTATGCAAAAAAATTTACTGTTAAAGATTCAACAGTGCGATCCGGTTATTCTGGTTTGAAAGAAGGTGGATTCCAGATTGAAGGCCATTGTGTCTCTTACCTTTCACTTTTCTGGCTTGTCACCTTTCTATGTTTAGATTACAAATTTACATAATTCCTAATAAGTTTTTTGTGTGTTTGTTCGCTTTTTTTATTTTTTATTTTTATGCTTTTCTTGTTTAAAATAAATAAATTAAGAAAAACCTTAGGTTATCCTTAAAATCAACATAGAACAGCATTCACAACCTATTTTATTTATGTAATGTGACATTTCAGAGTAAAAAAAATAAAGGACAGAACTTTTTTTTTTTTTTTTACCTTGGGATTGGTTGATCCGGCTAAAAAGTGTAGTTGTTTGGTCTGTAGTTTTGCAATTGTTTTTAGATGCTTTTTAGATGTGTTGTAGTTGTTTTGAAGTTATGTTTTAGATGTTTTTGTAGTTTTGTTTTGTATTTTAGATATTTGTTGTTTTTTATGCTTGTTTGCAGTTTTTGTATTTTTTAATGTTTGTTTTGTAGATGTTTTGGGATGATTTTGTAGTTTTTAGATGTTTTATAGTTGTTCTTTAGATGTTTGTTTTGACGCAAGATTACAGAGGCAAATTTTCTTTGGAATAATGTGCGCTGATGAATTAAGTCCTAGAACATGCATTGAAAATGCTGAAGAAAATCTTTCTAATTTTAATTTCATGTTGACCTGTACACCCATTTTGCTAGACTTAATCTACACCTAGATGAGCACTTTAAAACTCAAACACAATTTTTGCCTACAAGTACCATTTGTCATTTTACAAATGTCAGGTTTTTAATATCATTTTTGAGCTACAGTGCTGTGAAAAGGTATTTGCCCCCTTCCTGTTTTTTACATAAGTCACACTTAAAAGATTCAGATCATCAAACAAATTAATATTGCACAAAGATAATGCAAGTAAATACAAAATGCAGTTTTTAAATTATTATTTTATTAAGGGAAAAAAGCTGTCCAAACCTGCCTGGCCCTATGTGAAAAAGTAATTGCCCCTTAAATCTAATAACTGGTTGTGCCACGCTTTGCAGCAACAACTGCAATCAAGTGTTTGCGATAACTGGCAAATTGTCATGCGCTGATATTACAGAACCAGTATAGTTTGAGATTATTATACTGCTCAACATGCTCAAAAGATCATTTCACTTGTGTAGGACTCCTACAGAAAGCAGGTGGTGATTGACGGGGAGACGTGTCTGCTGGACATCTTGGACACTGCAGGTCAGGAGGAGTACAGCGCCATGAGGGATCAGTACATGAGGACAGGAGAGGGCTTCCTCTGTGTCTTCGCCATCAATAACACCAAGTCCTTTGAGGACATTCACCACTACAGGTGAGGGTTTGATAGAAACCGAATGGTGTTCAGTCACATAACCTGCAGAATCAGGTCTGTAAAGGGTTAAAACACCTCACAAAGTCAAATTCCTTTTTGACGTGCAATGTTCTGTGTGCTTTGGCAGAGAGCAGATAAAACGAGTAAAGGACTCGGAGGACGTCCCCATGGTCCTGGTGGGGAATAAGTGTGATCTTCCATCCCGCAGTGTGGACACCAAGCAGGCTCAGGATTTAGCACGTAGCTACGGCATCCCATTTATAGAGACCTCAGCAAAGACGAGACAGGTATGGAAAACATGGGCGGTCGTGGATTGAATACAAGTGTGTCTGACAAATCGATGAAAATAAAAGTTTTCACATTGAAAGACTTTTTTATTTTGGCTGGTTTAAAACTGGTTTATAGACAACATGAAATCAAAATCAACAGTTTTTTTGTAAATAAATGTCCTTGGTACTTGTGCTCTGCTCGTCATTACAAAAAAATTGTTTGTTTACCATAAACTTTTATCCACCTCTGAAACCACTTTTATGCTGACGCAACTAAGGCCACAATTAAAAGGAGTCTGTAATATCCTAGCAGCGTAGGATTCAATCAAATTCCGATGGATAAAATTATCCCAACCTACATTTGATAAATTTTTTTTCACAATATTATTTTGCTTAGAAATGCATTATTATGGAAGTTAAATGAGTTGTGAAATGCCATTTCATGTTGTCTTTAATGTCATGTTAATGCAATATTGGGTTAAACATGGTTTGAAATCTATAATAAAAGTTGAAAATAACCAGAATACAACCATTTAAGGTGAGTCTTGTAAAGCATTTCAAGAACATGTCAGGTCACATTTTACTGAAATCAAAGGAAATAGTAGAAAATTGTTGTTATTTATTATTATAGAAACTGTTATTAATCAGTTTAGTTTATTACACTGTTTAAAAAAACTAAAATACACACACATACATACACGTGTATAAGTCGCATTTTATTTCATTCAGAAATAGGCCTAATGCTGACGTGAAATGTTTACAAACATTATAATAAACACTGTAAACATAGCTAGGCTATTTTAGTTCCCCTCACTCCACAACAAATCCTTTCAATTAACAGTATTTAGAAAAGAACAAGAATTAAAAATATAAGAAGCTATAGCAATATACACGACAAGCCAAAACTAATTTAGGTTAAAACGAAACTGAAACCAATGTTGGGTCTCTCATTCCACACAAAATCAAATGTTTCCATGTTCGCGATGTATTTGAATGGCAAATTATTATTTTATGTACTTCAATCGCGTTCCAATATCCACGTAAAACAAAATGTTTTGCATAACATCACGGCGGTACAGTGATAACACTTAACCTTAACGGCTTAACAGATTTTACTACATAGTTTTTTTTTTTTTCCATGTTTGACTGACTGTATTTTATTATGATAATGAACAGGCTGCATTGTCAAGGTAGCAATGCTTAACTGTGTGCGTGCGTGCGGCGCCGGCACAATCACTTGAATTTTTTCCTTAACAGTGGAAAAAAACTACTCCTTTTAGTCCTAAAACAAATAAATAGGCCTATACGAGAAACATATTTTTACTTAAATTATAAACTAAGAAAATTAAAGAAAAACAAGTAGCCTAGTATTCATTTAGTAGCCTGGTTCACTTTTGTGCTGCGCGAAAGGAAACCAGTCGGCAGAAAGCTATTTTTCTTTAGGCATATTTTACAAAAGCACAAAGATTTGTTTTTATTGTGAATACCAGTACAATAACTCACGGTTCTCAACCAATCAGATTTGAGAACCAGAACGAACTGTTGTATAAATAAATATATATATATTCATTCACATGGTCATCACATCCCGTACCTGCAGAGCTTCTGCGAGTGGAGAAAAACACATATATATCTCTTTATGTTTTTCTCTGCTGGCAGAAGCGCTTCAGGTGCGTGATGTGATATGAAGACCATGTGAATCCTCATGTTCTGTTGTTTGCTGCTTTTTGCACATGTAAATGTAATCCCCGTCAAACATAATTCTGCAGAATCATGAATATGTGTGTTCTGGTCTCACCATTGCCCTGTGCATTGGAGACCAGGACTGAGTCCAAGTCCATTCAAGTCCACCCCTGATGTAATGCCAACATGTAGCATTTTAATGAACAGTACTTTTTGTTAACCGTTTATAATATGTCTTTAGAAGTAATAATAAAAAGGTAAAATGTTAACACTATTTTGGCTTTGTTTAAAGTATTGTGAAAGTATTGTTTCGTGAGGATCGGTATCGTCTAGTTTGTTACACCCCTAATTGCCATTTAAATTTTTTTACATAAAAAAAAAAGTGTCACAATAGAAGTAAGTCTTATTGCATAAATATAGGTATTTTATTGTATTATTTTTAGGAGGTAACTGTGGCCTAGACATGGTTTTTGTAACATTCACACACCATCTGAAGGCAGTTGAAATGTGTAAAATTGTAGGAAAGCTGATCATTGCGCACTGTTGCTTTACACTGGGTTTATGCATGAGTTCATTCTGACGGGCTTTATGAATAATCAATCAGGTCATATCACACAACACAAGTGATCTGCCTCTGGGTTTGTGCCTGGTCTCTCATGTGTATTCATTATAATTTGTCTGTGTTTGATTTCATAAATTAAGCTTTTAATGGCAAAGAATGCTATTTGGATCGATTGATTGATCGATCAGGGGTTTAATCACTATTAATCAATTGGGGTTATTAAACTGCTGATTAAATATCAGGGCAGACACTCTACCTCCCTCTGCAGTGCTCAAATCACAACTCCTTGTGGTGCTGGGGTATAATAAAAGCTCCTGAATTAATTTCTTTTCTCTCTGTTTTGAGCCTCACATGCTACTCGCCGACACCGTAGTGCCGTCTTCAATACCCACAATTCCCTCTGGCGGCAGGCCGAAATGGTTCTGTGTGTATTGCTCTAATAGCAGATTCACTTTCTAATTCTCTTATCTTTGTTTATTAAAACGTGTGTGTGTGTGTGTGTGTGTATGTTCAGGGACATTACTAACTCTTTTTAGAGAAACTCTTCTAAAATGTTTTCCAAGTGTGAAGATGCTGCGAAAAATTACATCCCATGGAATAGCCTGCCTTTTTTTTGGGGGGGGGGGGGGTTGATGTGAAAACTTCATTATGCCAAATTCCTTCCATATTCCCAGAAATAATCAAAAGAAGACGCTAATATTAATTTTGCCAGCACTATGTGGAAAACTTTATAGTGCCACTTGGTTCCCGAAATCCAGTTCGGACTATTTCCGCTTCTCGGTAATGAGAAGGCTGTGCGTTCCTTGACACTGAAGGGAGTTGTGTTTTGCACTGCAGAGAGTGGAAGATGCCTTTTATACTCTGGTACGGGAAATCAGGCAATACCGGCTGAGAAAACTCAGTAAAGAAGAAAAGACGACACAATGCATCAAGCTTAAAAAATGTGTTTTGATGTAAGAGGGGTAAGTTGGAAGCACTGGCCGTCTGCAGCCCAGCTGTGGAGTACGAAATCTGCTGTACACTTTACATCTGTTCTTAGATGGGTCTCTCAAACTGTCAGAGAAATATCCAGGTCATATTTCAGCCCAAAATTAATTTTCATAAAAAAGAAACCTATTTTAGGACCGATAAGAGATTTAGCGTTATGACATTTATTTTCATAATCACACCTTCCACATTTGACCATAGAATAAGAATAAACCCTTATTTTAGAACACAAACAACTTAAGTGTATTTATAATTGTACATCATATATTTGAATGTAATTAATGCTAATAGTAATACTATTATTTTCAAGACCATTTTTATTTATTGTGTTTGTAGTTGTTCTGAATTTAAATCATGCTAATAGTAATTTAAAAATCACTTTCCAGACAAATGTTCTTTTTTTTTTCTTTTTTTTTTCTTTGTAGTGTTTGTTGTGATGATTTTAATAAATGCACAATTTAATTTAAAGTCCCCATGAAATCAAAATTAAAGTTTTTTTTTTTGGGTGTTAGTATCAATATGTTAGTCTTAAGGTTATCTATAAGGCAGTGTGCTCCAAAGCAGTGACAAAATTCACATTTAAAAGACATACGCATTCAAAGCTTGCAGTTCGTCACTTCCGACAAAATGGTTCAACAATTTTTTTTGACGTCACATCGTACTTCAGCTTCTCATCAAATCTTCTGACCAATCAAATGCTCTCTAGAATCCGAAGCACCCGCCCCCTGCACTATAAATAGACACTGAAGCGCCGGCTGAGATCGGTCACTTGTTCACAGTGTAGTATTTCCTGTACAGTGAATGGCTCGTAGTGCACAATGTAGGCGATAGGGAATGATTCAGACAGTGTAAATATGCTTTCGATTGGTGCAAATTGAGGTCTTGTTTCACGCTGCTTCACGCGAACCGTGGCAGCGCACACAGTCTGATCTGGACTTTGGCTCCGGTCCAGAGACCCGATCACACGGAGCGGATCATATGTGCGAGTCGGCATATATTAAAAACTTTTACAAGTACACAGCCTCAGCATGATTATTACCACTATTTTGTTTTACGAGTTTCATATTGAATCTAGGGGGTAATCTATTAGACTGTGGCTGTCAAATGCGGCTTTACCGAGCAGATATAAACAAAACACTATTGGCGATTTTAAAAAGGGGGCGGAGTATGCTCTATGTCCCGCCCTCTCTTTCTGTTTCAGTTGAAATTACGTCACCACATAGAATAATGCTGCGTGTTTCAAGGCACTTCAGGGGACCTTTAAAAAATTTAATTTTCCAGAAAAGATTTATTTACTTAATTAACTGAATTTAAGTATTACATTTAAAAATACATTCCCATACAGGATTTTACATTTTTTTTAATAAAGTTTTTAAAGGGAACGTCTGTTTTACTACTGTGAAAAAGAAAGAAAAAATCCTACAAACTTTTTTTTTATTTTTTTTTATTGCGAAATATAGCGTCTCATTTTTGTTTGATTTTGGGACTGAATATGACCGTTTTTCTGTGAGACTGACATTCTTATCTATCTTTTTCCCCCAATTAATTTCTATTTTCACTGTTTGGGTTTGGTGATCATGGCCTTTTTAAGACTTATCTGAGGCCAGTTTTAATGTTAAATGGCTAATGTTTGGAATATGGCAACAAAAGTTGGGCATAGATCTCTGAAAAATCCCTGTTTTTTGTTATAGTGTTTGATGCTTTAGATAATCACCTGAAGATCCTGTTTTCCCTTTATTTTGAAGGGCGTGGATGACGCGTTTTATACTTTAGTCCGAGAAATCCGGAAGCACAAGGAGAAGATGAGCAAGGAGGGCAAGAAGAAGAAGAAGAAATCCAAAACAAAATGTGTATTAATGTGAACAAGCCTTTCCTGTCATTACAGACTCAACAAAAAAAGTTCCACAACTGCATTTTGTACATTACACTAAATTATTAGCCTGTTCAAAATACAGAATGGATCCTTATTCTACTTGCTTTCTTAAAAGAAATAAGCTTTACTTCTCGTTCGGTGCCAGTTGCCCCAAAGTGTTGGTCCCTTGACACATTTCTGGCTTATTTTACCGGGTGGGCTGTGAGAGCTGGTGTTATTTTGCAGTTGGTTTATCTAGAGTAGTTTTAGCAGATTTATAAGGAAAGGAGAGGACATGAAAACAGGCCTTTGGTGTGATGTATGAGAGAGAACTAGCTGTGTAGCTGTTTAGCCGTGAAATTTGCATGCGAGTCACTTGATTTTACAGGAACTGAAACTTTGAGGAATCTTTTTATTTTTTATTTTTTAGGACCAACACTTTCAGGTGGTGTTTTGATACATTTATCACTGTGTATGACCCTGCCTTTGGATGTCCCGGACTTCCCGAAACAACCTGCATGTGAACTTCCATTGTAGTCGGATTAACGCGCCCTCTCTCGAAAGCCATGTATGGTGAAATCTTAACCACATTAACCTTATTTCCCTGTATGCATGCTGTGTTCTGCTCATTAAACTTCCAGGGAACGGTAATGCGTTGAATGCTGTATAATAGCCACTGTCCTGCAGAATAGATTCTATTTCAACATAACCATTGTTCATTTTTCTGATATTTTCAGTTAAAGTCACGAGGGTTTATATAAGAGTCAAAATCTGCTAAGAGGTAACATCATGTCAAAATATATCTTCAGTAGACAACAAAATTAAATGTAAAATGCTTGCACACCCTGAACAAGTTCGTTGACTTGAAAATCAATGTTTTTTTTTGTTTTGTATTTTGATGAAGTTCTTTTTATTCTCTTATAAGTCATAACAGTCTTTGTCGTGATTCATGATTACTAGATAAGGATTTTTAATCCTTCTAGGCAGATTTCATTTGTATGTCAGGTACTAATCTATTGAATTAATATACAGTATTTGATCAGTTTTAGTTATTAGTATGTAATCCTATTTCTGCCACATGAGAAAAAAATCATGCTTTGATAAATCCTAACATAAAAAGTATTAATTGACATAAAAGGCAAGACTGATACGAAGTCATAATTGTGAGATAAACGGCCATAAGAGATGAAGACATAAATATGAGAGAGAAAAATTTAATGAGAAAAAGCCATTATGACAATGTCAATTGTCAAATTATGACAATGAATATGAGATAATTGACACAGTTTTGACCAAGTTTTGAAAATATTATTTTTTTAAATCAATGTTGACTTCAATATTCAAAATTGTGAGATGCTAAATCATAATCCAAAGATAAACATTCAAGATTAGTCATTTTTATGAGACTGACTTGTGTCCTAATTGACTTTTTATTTAACTTAGTCATAATTTTGACTTTTTAAGTTGAATTTTCAGAATATTTTACTCCAGTCTGCAGTGTCACATGATCCAAATATGCTGATTTGGTGTTCAAGAAATATTTCTTATTATTATCAATGTTGAAAACAGTTTTTGATGAATGATGAATAGAAAGTTCAATAGAACAGCATGTGAAAGTTTTTACTATCAGTTTTAATTAAATGCATACTTGCTGAATAAAAGTAATAATTTATTTAAAAAATCTTACTGACCCCCAAGTTTAGTTTGTAAGTAAGACAAATAAATGCAATACAATACGATACGATAAAAATAAAAAAATATGTAGCCTGTATAGAGAACTGACCTGGTATTTTATAATTGATTTATTGAGGTTAAAAAAGAGAAAGAAGAAGAATATGGATATTTTCAAGGGCAATGTATGGCAGGTAGGACAAAAATATACTTCGTAGCAGTTCAGCTATTAATGGTAGAGTAGGTGATTTTGGAGAGGCTAGCAATAGCAAGCTAGCTTTGAAAGCATAAGATCCCACCCTCCCTGCAAATCACTCTCTAAAGTCACGACTCCTCCAAAACACATGAACGCGCTCAGTCAGAGTAAAGGCTAACCAGCGACACAATGAGAGAGAGATGGCGTTGGTGGAGGATTGAATGAAACACTGTCAATTTAATTTTCAACCAGCATAACAAAAGAAATTTGAACCATATCACCTACCCTGCCTTTGAGTAACTAGAGCTCAGAGTAGATTGTGGATAAGGCAGGAACTTATTTTACTTTTGTTGTACTGCATAAAGCAGCAGGACAGGGCAGTCATCATAATAGGATCCCTAACAAAAACACCATGAATTTTTAAACACCTAGAGGCAACAACTGTGTGACAGCGATAAAGAGAGATTTGCTGAGGGTCACGGCTGAGAGAAAGAAGATCTCAGTCTTGTCAAGATTAAGATTGAGTGTGTTTGATATGTCAGGCATACAGAGATTGCAGACATCGAGACAGAAGGGGACATGTACAGCTAAGTGTCATCAGCACATCAGCGATAAGAGAAGCCATGCAATTAAATGACAATTCAGAGCTATCTGAGAGATTTGCTGAGGGTCACGGCTGAGAGAAAGAAGATCTCAGTCTTGTCAAGATTAAGATTGAGTGTGTTTGATATGTCAGGCATACAGAGATTGCAGACATCGAGACAGAAGGGTTAAGAGAAGCGATAAGAGAAGCCATGCAATTAAATGACAATTCAGAGCTATCTATAAATGTCTGAATGTAGACAGGAAAGAGTAACGGTCCCAGCACCGAGCCCTGTGGGACTCCCACAGTGGGGCTTTTCCAGCTAACTTGGTGTGGTTCTCCTGGGAAGTGCCTACTTATTTGAAAAACATAGACCATATTGAATTTTACATGGATGAAAACAAAGCTGTGAGGGATAGAATTAAAATCTTCACAATGGAATGCACTGAATAAAGGTCCTAGATTGCATGCATTTTTCAAGATTCACAACTTTCAAAAGTGTTTCATGAAGTGTTTTCTTTTCAAAAGATGTTTTGTCAGCTGAACAATCGTTATGTTAAACTACAGTACAATCTATTGAACACACTGTACTTATATTCCTCACAGCCTCGTTTTTATTCCTATCATATAATTAATATGGCCCTGCATTAAAATAATTTTGGTCAGAACAACATGAAAGCAAGTACATATTTTTCTTATTGCTACCAAGCTTTTTTTTTTGCAATTGCAATTGCAACAAAATAAAGACCATATGATGCACATTAGGTGTGCAAATTATTATTGTTTTTTTAAATAAATGTTTTAATCAACATTAGGTCAACATGTAATTATGAGCAATTAATTTTTTTCAAGTGTTCAAATAAAAAATATTTTTATTTTTTTAATTTCCCGAGTTGTTCGGTGCTAAAGTGTTGTAACGAAGAGCAAAGTATGCATATCATGTAATGTAATTCAGTCAATTTCTGTGCTTGCAAATGGTGGGAAAATGTAGTTTGGTGCTCTGTCTCCAAACAGCTAAATGAGTAGTACTGTATGGCAAGTTTTTTCCCGCTATTCTTCATCAACAGTATCCTACACAAACGCATAAAAAACTGAATTGTACTATTTTACTTTTAATAAAAGATGTTTCCGTCACGATTCTGCAATTGACACGCCCCGCTTCCCGCCAATCATCATTCAAAGAAAGCACGAGGCAGCCGAGAGAGAAGAAAACGATGCAAACAACGACATTAGTGACATTCGAGAGTTTGGACAAGTTCACAACAGGTTTAATTTGTTTTAAATAATAAATACTACGGCGAATGAGTTCGTGTAGATTAGTGACTTAGTTTTGGTAAGCACAAACGCAAACTATGCTAATTGACAAACTATGCTAATTAAAATGATAATACTAAACTTTGTTTTGATCTTTGAAGTCTGTCTCTATCTATCTATCTATCTATCTATCTATCTATCTATCTATCTATCTATCTATCTATCTATCTATCTATCTATCTATCTATCTCTGTCTGTCTATATCTATCTATCTCTGTCTATATCTATCTATCTATCTATCTCTATCTATCTATCTATCTATCTATCTCTGTCTATATCTGTCTGTCTATCTGTCTGTCTATATCTGTCTATCTGTCTGTCTAGTATATCTTTTGCTCATTCCTTATAGTTATTAATGTTTCTAATACAATATGCTGATTTAGTAAATTCTGCTATAGATGAAACAGTCTATTAGATTAGTTGTTTTTGCATTTCATCCTAAGAAGAATTAATGTTTGTGCATTTAGTTGGAATAAAATGACTGATTTAAGATATATTGGTGCTGGGAAATAATCAGTATCTCTGTTAATGTTATTGTCTGGTAAGATCTTGAACTGAGCAAGCCCTGTCTTATAAATGCAGGTCAGGTTTTATGGCAAGCCCATCCATTTTGAGAAGAAGAGTTATTCAGTTCACGGATGTTTTATTGATGTCGAGCCACCCAAATAAGCCTGAAGATACTTCAAATAGGCAAAAGAAGATTCATCGCTCTGGAATAACAGACCTGGATCTCAGGACCTGTGGTGAGGTAAGACTGTATCATCCGCGCACAACGCAACATTTTCAGCTGCTGAAGTGGATCTGAACTCTCTTGTTTGTCTTGACAGATATAAAGCTCTTGAGAAAAAGATTGCAAAACCTTGACATTTTTATTTCTTATTCCTGCAAGGCTTGATAACTTTAAGAGAGGGTAGAGAGATGACCAGTAGTTTTTGAAGTTGATGGATTTTTTTTTAATTTTTTTTTTGAGTATTGCAGCTTTTGCTGACTATTACTTTTTGGCATTTTAAATTGATTTCACTTAACTGCTGAATTGTGAATATTGCAGATACTCTGGCGTTAAAGTCTTGATTGTGACTTGTTCATGCACATAGATGTTGATTAATATTTTGTAATTACAATATCACTTCATGTTGTTTCCTAATTGTTACAACAGTTAAAATGAACTTCAAAGATCCACACAGTGGCCTATAGCAAAGCAACCAGACACTGGTCAAGCGAATCTGATAAATTTGACAAATTGGGTAAAGGCTAAAAAGGGCTACTGCCAAAATTGAATGCACATATTTTATGTACATATTTAAAACCTTTCTTAGTGCATGTGTGGATTGAATATAACAGTTGATTTGGCAGAGGGTTCATTTCAGGTTTTTAATTGGGTGCTGTCACAAAAACGTGATTTCTTTCTTTTTTTTTTTTGCCCTCTTGATCCACACTCAGTGATTCTATCAAGACATTAAAAAATTTAAACCTGTCAAGCTGAAGACAGTTTTTCAAATTTGCTAGGTCAAAACAAAAATGATCCCCCTTCGGGTAAACGTATTAGATAATGTGAGATATTTAAAATATGGCAGTGTTTGTTAGAAATAGGAACCAGTGATAAGTGCATTTCTGACATTCACATTAGCACAATATTTACTTGAACAATAATTTATTTATTATATATATATATATATATATATATATATATATATATATATATATATATATATATATTTGGTACACTCCAT